ACCCCAAAAAGGTGAGTGAAGACTGATGAAACTTGCATTTTTCGGCTTTGATGAAAAGTTTATTTTCCAGTACTCTTTATAACACTAGGCGGACGTGTTTCTTGTGCTCGGAATGGTTCTTGGAATAAATGAGTATGTCATCAATGTAAACGAACACGAATACATTCAGGAAGTCTCTGAGAACGTCGTTAACCAGGGCTTGGAAACATGCGGGGGCATTAGTTAGACCAAAAGGCATGACCAAATATTCAAATTGGCCCAAGGGAGTCTTAAAGGCTGTCTTCCACTCATCTCCGTCACCTTCTCCGTGTTCGGAGAAGGTGATAAGCGTTCCTCAAATCGAGTTTGGTAAAGACAGTTGCCCCTTGAACTGGTTCGAAAGCTGAAGCGAGAAGTGGGAGAGGGTACTTATTTTTAATAGTAATTTGGTTCAGGCCTCTGTAATCTATACAGGGTCTTAGAGAACCGTCCTTCTTGCCAACGAAAAAGAACCCTGCACCCAACGGAGAAGAAGATGGGCGAATTATTCCGGCAGCTAAAGACTCATTTATGTATTTTTCCATGGTTTCTCGTTCTGGTTTGGAAATATTATAAAGTCTGCTGCTGGGAAGGGGAGCTCCAGGTAATAGCTCAATCGCACAGTCATATGGTCTGTGTGGTGGAAGGGACGTAGCACTGACCTTACTGAAGACAGGAGCCAAATCATGGTACTCGGAAGGGACAGAAGAAAGGTCAGGAGAGTCCATCTCCCCCCCACCTCTAGGGGACCCCACAGCGGGAGCTGCTGAACGGAGGCATGTCTCATGACAAAGGGTAGACCAAGATTCCACGTGACGATCAGTCCAGTTAATATGGGGATTATGTTTCTCCAACCATTCAAAGCCAAGCACCAGAGGCGAACATGCGGAAGGAAAAACAAAAAATGTTATGGTTTCACGATGATTACCTGAGATAAGTAGCTCAAGTGGCTGGGTTTGATGGGTGACCTGGTGGAGTTTCTTCCCATCAATAGCGGAAACGCATAGAGGCTGGTTTAGAGGAAAGGTTTCAATCTGAAGCTGCTGGACGAGATTAGAGTCAATTAAGTTTCGTTCACAGCCTGAATAGATGAAGGCAGAGAAAGAGAGGTTCTGGTCAGAGAAAAATAAAGTGGCAGGAAGCATCAGACAATGAGATTTTTCAGAGTTAACTTGGCCCGCCAGACTCCTCAAAACCTCTGACGGGCCCCGGCTTTTGATTTAGCCGGGCATGAAGCGATGAAATGACCACTCTCACCACAGTAGATACACAGTTTGCTCAGAAAACGTCTTTGTCTTTCCTCAGGAGTCAGCCTTGTATGTCCAACCTGCATGGGTTCAATCTCCGTCTCACCAGTATGAGAGGCCTGAACAGGCAAAGGGAGAGACTGAGTCTTTGGTCTCGGCTTGGACAATTGTTCTGTGGGAGCAGAAAAAACAGTCACGTTATTTGAAGCAGGGGCAGAGGCAAAGGACCCCAGATTCTTATATTTAGAGCTGTTTCTGGCTCGGATTCTGTTGTCCAACTTAATTGTGATGCGGATTAATTCGTCGAGGGTTGCTAGTTCATCCTTGATGCTTTCGTTTAAAGCCATAAAGTAAGCGCCCTTTAACGCACTGATTCCATCCGGAAGCTGCTGCTTTTACCCAGGAAGTTAATGGAGAACTCCGCCACCGAAGCATTTCCCTGTTTGAGATTGAAAAGAGCACGAGAGTCAATGGTTTGATCTGTTTCTTGGTTGAAAACTTGCGAAAATTCTGAGACAAAATCTGAATATCGACAACTGAGGCTTTCGTCAGAGGCAAACCTTGCCTGAGCCCATTCCAGGGCTCTTCCTGTTAATTGGGACAAAATGAAGGTATTTTCTTGAAATCCGTGGAAAAACTGCTGGGAGAGTTCTGAAAGATAAGGCGACATTGAAAGGTGGTACTTCTCCAGCTCCCAACAAAAAGATGACATTTTTCTCCTCAGTGCTACCAGAGACAATCAACACAATCAGCCACTGTTCTGACAACAGAGGGGTTATGTTCTGTCATTAGCATTGGCATGCTCGACACCTTCAGTGCTTTTTCACATTGTGTTTCTTTATAACCATAAACTTCTATGTGATTTTGATTTTATGTGGTGCATTACAGCAAAGGGAAAGGAGAACCATAGATCATTTTAAAAAGCATTAAAAAGCAAATATCTTAAAGTGTGGCCTGCAGTTTTATTTAAACCATAAAATTATTTCCCTAAATTAAACCCGGAGAACCTAAAAGTCGTCTTACCATTAAATCTATCTGAGTGTAATTGAGCCTAAAAATAAACACAGTGTTTGTCTTAGTATGTACTGTGCCTACATGGGCTGAAACACCAAATCTAAACAACATAGAAGGACTCGTTTATGTAGTAGGAAGCCAAATTTCCTTCAACAGAGAAGACGAATCTGCATTAAGAAATTAACAAGGAGAAAATATGTGTCTCTACTTATTTAATGTGACATTTTCATTCATACCAAACCAAAAGGGAGTTCTCATGTTTAAGCCAGGAGAATAATTCACTGGTCAAATCTTTCTAAGAACAAAGTTCATTTCAGTGTCATGAGATAAAGCGTGGGCATCGGACAGTGTACTTTTCCGTCAATATTCACATACCCACAGTGCAGTGACTGTGATGAGAGGGAGATGGTGTGCATGGCTGCATAGAAAGAAAGCAAGAAATCTCCTCTCATTAGTTTATCCCGTTAGACTGAGCAGTGCTTCACATGCCAGACAATAAAGCACCTGTTGCTGCTGGTTTGTGAAACCACACAGCAAAATCTGATGTGGTAAATTTCATTTGTCTGTGTTGTATGTTGAAAGTTCCTATTTAAGTCAACTACTGTTGAATTCAATATGTGAGAATTAGTTTCGCTATGAGTCATTGTTAATCTGCAAAATAAAACTCAAGCAACAATTGTTGGTTATAAAGTAAAAAACTAGCAGAGTTTCACCCACAATGCCAACCTATCTGTGAACTCTGAGCATCTTTGTTTATAGATGTTCGAGATCGGCCTGTTTTTCAGTGTTTTCCTGTTTCTCTGACCGTGACTGGCTGGATGTGCTCTCTTCATCCTCTGACATGTGAGCTGGCTGCTTTTTGTATCTCTGCTTCTGTCTCCTGAAACCCCAGTCGACCTCAGCAGATGGCCGCTCACAATGAGCCTGGTTCTGCTGGAGGTTTCTTCCTGTTAAAAGGGAGTTTTTCCTCTCCACTGTTGCTGCAAGGATGCTTAGTTTGAAGGGTTGGATTCGAGTCAATGAGTCGATGCAATTCCTTAGATTGAAAACTTTGAATTAATTTGACTGAATGATCTTGACTGAAGTTCATTGAGACGACATTTGTTGTGAATTGAATCAGTGAACCTACAATTGGAGGATCCCCTGTTGCAACTACAGCTCAGTTGTTGTGTTCTTGGGCAGAACCCCTGACTTGCATCGGTAAAGTGTTGGTGTTAAAGGTGTACAGGGGGCCGGTAGAGCCTGTTTAAGGGCTCATTATGCTTGACGCCCTGACATCCACGAGGAAAATGAGCCCCGCCCGTCACAGCATCTGCAGCATTCGTACTCTGTGCTGCTCTTCTCCTTTTCTGGCCAGTTCCACACAGCATACACAGTTTACAGCTTTATCAAAGCCTCTTCATGCCGTTTGAGAGCAACACTCATTGCTTTCCTGGAGTTTTTCCACATTGTGTTGATGGTGGGGATATTTATGAGCTAAATCATGGGATGTCTCTAAATGTTTACATTTGCGAACCCAGGCCAGCGGGAGCAGCCGTCCATTCGCCATGTTTTCCGCATAGCCCCGTCCTCATAGATACAACATTTCCTAGGAGTCCGGAGGGGTGTGGAAAACCAAAAATGGCCACATGGATCTCGCAGATTCATCAAGCAAGCACCAAAACTAACAGCAGCCTTGCTTGATTCAGGGCAGCTTTGGCTCCAATGTATCAGATAGCACAGGATTAATTACCACTGTTACGCTAATGATACTCAGCAATACTTGATCATACATCCTGATAACCGTTAACTAGCCTAACCAGCCAGACTAATTGATGGACCTCAATTTTTTAAAGGGGGACAAACAGAGTTAGCAGAAACAGTTTAGGGCCAATTAGAAACTATGGATGTGACGCAAAAACCTCTTTAAAATAAATAAAACCTCTAAATGTTGAATTTCAACTGCTAAGAGTATTTGTCCAACTATTTTACGTACAATCTTAACTGTTTAACCATTTCAAAAGTGCCATTTTAACTTGATCAAGTGTGGAGCAATATAAAGACTTAAAAAGTGTTGAATTTAACTCCCTAGGAGAATTAACACTTTTCAAATTTGCCATAAATTTATCGCCCGCCTCTAACTTTACAACAACATTGCATCAGTTTTTTAAATTCTATTGCTGAAAATCCCATAGAAAAACATTATTATTAGTAGATATAAAGTGACAAATTATAACAAAGGTAAAGGAGTAAAAAATCTTTTTCAAGCAGTCTTTTTTATTGTATTCAAGCATAAAACCCAACATGTTATCAAATCCATACGGTTTTCATCTGTGCTTTTCCTCCCTGGCCTCACGTTTGATTTTATCGTACTGCATTCCTATAACAAGCAGTTTAAAATGTTGACTGATAAGTCATACAATTGTTAAACAATGTAATAAATGCCCGATTACTAAGTGCAAATATTTGATGAACAATATTAGTATTCAGGGATTAATCATGTCAAACTGCAGTGAGCTGGAAGTAGAATAAACTCTTATTTTTCAAGCTCTACACGTGCAAAAACAGCATTCCTTCCTCCAACTGAATCACTAATGTTGTCAGGTTGGTTTTCACAGGTTTATCCCCTCTGGCCTTCAAACTTCTAGTCTAGTCTCTTCTGTTTTCTGTGGCAGTAAAATTTTATTATCTAAGAAGCCTTTTACTAATCTGGAAGCTTTACTTTTCTCTTGAACTTGACAGCCATGGCGGAGGCTCATCAGGCCGTAGCGTTCCAGTTCACCATCACACCAGAGGGGATCGATCTACAGCTGTCCTATCAGGCCCTGAACCAGATCTACCTGTCTGGAGTTCGTTCCTGGAAAAAGCGAGTCAGCCGCATGAAGGTAAGTTAGGAGATGAGATCATGTTAGCATTTCCTGCCCTTTTTTTTTTTTTTACCAAATAAGTTTAAAAAGGCCTTAATTCCACTCCCTTCAGTTTCTCCTACGTAAATTCTTGTTAAACTAATATATATTTGGGGCAAAATATGAAAAAGCAAAGCATTGTCCTTGTATGGAGTCTATTACACCTTAATATTCTCTGCCTGTTGCATGTCAGAACTGATGTTTTCCATAATAGTTTATCTAATTAGGACAGTTTCTCTGTCCGGATATACAGTTATAATCTTCTGTTTGTATGTGGCAAAGATTTGGGAATGGAATGAAAGCGATGTCCTTCAGCTAAGAACAAAGTGTATAATTTTGATATCGCCGGAGCCATAGATGTCTCCTCATCTGCTAACATGTATGATGTAATGATGTGGCAGACTGGAGATGTATAAAAGACCTCTTTAACTGTTAAACTGTTGCTTATCGTATTTAGATAAACTATTGTGGAAAACATCAGTTCTGACACGCAACAGGCAGCTAAATTAAGGTGTAATAAACAGATACATTATCAATGATAATGATCCTAACATCCCTTATATAAGACAAAAGACATCAGATAAATGCAGGTATTATGTGCTATTAAGGCTTTAAAGTTATTGGATCAAAACTAAAACTACTATCTCACATTGTTGTCATGTTTATTTTAAAGAAAAGTGGTACAGAGTTTCCTGGATGCGGCCGCCTGTGGAGCTGGTTGACAGTTGCTTTTTGTATCTCTGCTTCTGTCTCTATGAAGTTTCTTCCCGTTAAAAGGAAGTGTTTCTCTCCACCGTCGCTACAAGCATGCCTAGTCTGAGGGATTGCTTTCGAATCAATGAGTCGATATAATCAATTGGTTTTCCTTGGGTAGAACACTTTGAATCAATCTTATTGGATGATCTGGTTGAACTTTAAAGCGTCTTGAGATGACATGTGTTATGAATTGGCACTATAGAAATAAACTGAATTGAATTGACCAAAATGTTTTTTCCTACTGCTATGAATACTTGAGTTACGTTATTTTCTACCTCCACCTGATGCTGTTTCTCTGTTTTCCACTGCTTGCAAACAAGTAGGGTTTGTTTTTGTTTGACCATATTTTTATTACTTCTTATAGTCGCAATTCAATTTAGTTTATTTATGCTGCATAATTCACAGCATGTCATGTCAAGGCACTAGGAGTGGAAACAGCTTTAGCCAGTGTAGTTTTTTTCTGCTTAAATGTTGTTTGACCCCTAGGGGGTCCACTGAGGTACTAGGGGTGGGTATTGGCAAAGAAGTCACGATTCGATTCGAATCACGATTCACATGCCACGATGCGATTCTATCACGATGCATCACGATACTTGAAATATTGCGATGCATTGGGATATTTTCACTGAACACTGTAAGAAAAAGATACAGCCCTTACCAGTGGCTGACTGGCTGGGTGTGATCTGGATAGTGTCTTCAATTGATACATAACTGAAAGCAACTGAATTCATACATAGCTGTATTTATTGAAATTACTTTTGGAGGTGTTGCCATGAAAACAAATACTGGACAGAAATATTACTATTACTGGCGTGGACACACTGACAAAAAGATCTTAGGATTCATCAAACTTAAAATAACAAAATGAGGATAATCAGTCCGGACATGCTTATGACACAAAGCAGCAGGCGTCAACACATCCGCAGCGACATCTGCTGGACTGGAAGTTGTATTCCACTTGGTTTGATTGATGTGCGCCAACCATTAATGTATTTTATTTGTTCATTTTTTTTTTTTAATAATCGATTCTTGCCTTCAAGAATCGATTCAGTAGATCACAAAAATTAGAATCACGATGCATCGATTTGACGATTATTTTGCACACCCTTATGAGGTACTGCATTTTTTTATATATTCCCCCTTGCAACTTTTTCCACTAATTAAAATATCTTTAAATCCACATTAACATGAGTTCAACAGACTGTAGTAAACAGATAAATGGAGGCAGAAGATGTCTTTCAGTCATCAATGCTCACATTCAGCGATACACAGGAGCTCTTTCAAGCTGGGCACCGTTTCATTCACAACATCTGTCCCATCAACCAGGAATCACAATCAGAAATACTTTAATAATCCCAGGGAGAAATTACTTTCATTACATTTCCCCATCTGTAAAAGAGTGACTATGGGACCAGTTTGAACACAATATTATTAATTAGGGGTTCCCTGCTCCATATCGCTATCAGTTTGGGGGTCCTTGTCCTGGAAAGCGTTGAAGACCCCTGACTTACAGCATTATAAAATATGCTATAATAGATGAAAGTGTAAACCCTGCTCCTTTCCCTTGAAAAAAAGCATGACTTGCTTTACATTTTAATTTTATATTGAAGGTGCATTACCTGACATTTATTACATTAATGTGCCAGTAGCTCACCCTGGTTGCATACAAAGTATTTTCAGAAAATGTACCACTTCTTGCTGTGGAATTATTTGTTATTTTTGTTTTTTTCTGCTTTCCAAAAAGTAAAGAAAGTAATAAAAAACAACCCCACTGGACTTTTAAAAACACAGCCAAGTTTGAAAATGTTTTGCTCCCCATTCAGGAAGCTTTCTCAGTTTAAAATGTCTGGGTTCCAGGCTTATAGAGTGCTCCAAACAAAAGCCTTGTTATGGCTTAGAAAACATGCAAATTAAACCAAAAAAACAGTTCCACTTCTTACTAATGGGGAGTCGTTGTTTGGCCTGGCTGACCAGGGATGATATCTTGGTCCCCTGCATGGCATTGAGGTTTGAGATGATCGAGGGAAGGAATCAACTCTAACGCTGCGTTGTAGGTTTTTGAGAGCTAGAACCTGAGACCAGCCCCTCTGTTTAAGGTTATTTTTTCTCTCTTCAATATTTCTTTTTAACTTCTTTAACTTTTTGGCACGTCTATGACTGTATGACTGTCAATCTTCACCAGCATGTTGTTTTCCGCTTTCTTTTTGCTCAATTTGTAAGTAAATAAAACCCATTGATTATGTTTAAAATACCAGAGGAGATAGTGTGCATGTGGGCAGGGCGTAAAAAAAGAAGGTGGAAGATGCAGCTAAGCTAGTTAGCACCTCCCAATGAAGTGTGGAAATAATGAAGAAAAGGCCAATATCCAGTTTGAAAGAAATGCAAAAAATATTTGATTCCAAGAGGGATGAGATTTAAAAGGAATTAGGTTTGATCATTAGTGTTTACTGTACATTTTATTGGTTGATTCCTTTCTTAAAGCTGTATTTCTGTTTGTATTTCTTAGAAACACCAGTTTCCAATTCTCTAGCATTTAACCCTTCTGCAGATGGTTTATTGAAATGATATTGATTGGTCTTGTGTCACGCTGTGTGAAGTGAAGCATTTGGTTGAGCTTTATCACTGATCTCTATTTATTCACTGGATTTTGATTGTTTCCCATGTTTCCAATCTCCATAGAATATAGAGCAAAATAAGGTCCTCTAAAAATATTAATGTTCTACTGTAAATGTATCGACAAAGGTCTGTTTGAATTACAGAAAAACAGAATTGTAGACTAAAGGAAAATACTGTGACCTTCTACCCACTTAAAGGCAGGTTGGCAAACAGTAGTTTTTTTCTAATATTGAAGTATAGCAGGTTAACCTTTAGCACAGTTAGAAGAGACACTGTTTTCCCTGAAATGTGATCATAACTTGTCCCTACCTGACTGGGTGTGTCAAGTTTTACGATGGTATGAAGGAATGTCAATAGTTGGCAGGAGGAAGGAGAATACAGGGAAGGACTGACAATAGGTGTCAGTTTAGAGCCATAAATATCTCAAAGTAATAAAAAATGCAGCAATCACATAATGTAATGTCACAAGGATTGCTGTTTATTTTATGTTCAACGGTTTTGTCTGCAGATTGACTTTCCATTTATTAGCAGTACACTAAAAGCCTGACTAACACGGCCCGCTTCAGGAAGTGTAATCGCTCAGAGAGTTTACTATGTGCTATTTGTTTTCCTTGGAAAATACGTTTAAATCTGGATTTTGTCAAATCATGTTCAGAGACATTAGGTAATTTATTTTTGGATTTGATTGACCCAAACAAAGCAGCACAGTGGGGAAAGGATATTTTATTTCTGTAGCCTTTCTGAGTGAATGGTTTAAAAAAAAAATGGGTGGCACTGCTGCCTTGCAGCAAGAAGGTTTTAGGTTCAATTCCCAAGGCAAGGCAAGGTAAATTTATTTGTATAGCACAATTCAGTACAAAGACAATGCAAAGTGCTTTACATGATTAAAATACAGGAAGATAAAACAGAATCAAAGCAAGTAGGAAAAAATAAAAAAATAAATAAAGTAAAAAAATGCAGAAACAAAAAAACATTTGGACTAAAGAAAATATGTTTTAGTTGAACTGTTTAGCTAGAACAGTCCTAACCAAATGTGTTTTTAGTCTTGATTTAAAGGAACTCAGGCTTTCCGCACTTTTACAGTTTTCTGGAAGTTTGTTCCAGATAAGTGGAGCATAGGAACTAAATGCTGCTTCTCCATGTTTAGTTCTGGTTCTAGGTATGCAGAGCAGGCTGGAGCCAGAAGACCTGAGTGGTCTGGAGGGTTGATACACTGATAGCAAGTCTGTGATGTATTTAGGTGCTAAGCCATTCAGAGATTTATAGACTAACAGAAGTATTTTGAAGTCTATTCTCTGAGATACAGGGAGCCAGTGGAAGCACTTTAGAACTGGGGTGATGTGCTCTACTTTCCCAGCCCGCTGTCTTTCTGCATGGAGTTTGCATGTTCTCCCTCAGCATGCATGGGTTTTCTCTGGGTACTCCGACTTTCCAAGACATGACTGTTAGGTTAATTGGCTTCTCTAAATTCTCCTTAGATGCGAGTTTGTGCATGGTTGTTAGTCGCTATGTTGCCCTGTGATGAACTGGCGACCTGTCCAGGGTGGACCCCGCCTCTCACCAATAAACAGCTGGAGATAGGCACCAGCACCCCTCGTGACCCCAGCAGGGATGACGATGAATGGATGGCTGTAAAGCTTTAAGCTTTACGTTCTTGCAACATTTGCCACCTAAAAATGTTCTACATATTTCTTAAAAACATTTTTGCTTGAAATTACCTATGTGAGCGGTATAACTATCAAGAGAGACGTATTTCATTTGTTCCTTCATCCCCTTCATCATAACAAACGTTAGTATGCTGTTATGTTTTCATAATTGTTGCAATCAAAGAAGAAGCTTTTTAACAAAAATATTAAAAGAGAAAGAAAAACAAATGAAAATATAAAATCTGTGAAAATATTAAAAAAAATAGAAAATAATGACATATTAAAAGAGTAAAGTATGAAAATAAGTTGGAAAGAAAAATTACCAGGAAAAAAAACTAAGATCCAAAGCAAAGTCACTCTAAGAACCTTTTTGTTATTTCTCGTTGTTTTTATTTATTTTTTTGGTTTTTTATTTATTTTTTGAATTCCAAGTAAAAAAAAGTTTTTTTTTCTATTCCCATTTCCACATTGTTTTTCCTCACTTAGAACAATAATGGAACCAAATTCACCCCATAGACCAGTCAGTAAAACTTTTAAACAAATTATTAACAAAAACAGCATTTAATGAAATCAGACATCTAATAGAAGTTGAAATTGTTTTTTTCTTCTTGTTTGGTTACAGAACAGAGTGATAAAGGGCGTGTATCCGGCCAGCCCGTCCTCGTGGCTCTTTGTTGCCATCGGCATCCTGGCTACCATGTACATGCAGTCTGATCCCAGCATGGGGCTCATCTCAAAGATCCAGCAGCATCTTCCATTAAGGTAAACACATCCCTGATGTGCTGGTTTTACAAACTACCTGCAAATCAGAGAAAACAAGCAGCATTTTAGACCGAAATCTGTGTTAAGAGCAAGAAAAAGGATTTGTCTTTTACATTTTCAAAGTAAAGATATCAGTGCCACTAGCAATCGGTCACATTTGAGAAGAGTATAAATCATTAATTGTAACAAATAAGGACTCAGTAGTTTTGTTTCCAAAAAAACAGCTATTTTATTTCAGATTTGAGATTTTAAATTCAAGAAGGATGGATAAAAAAATGTTTTATAAGGTGTTCTTAAAGATAGGCTCTGTGTCTGCACCTTGAATCTCTATCTGTCCGGTTCTTTTTCCTGAAAATAGATCTCTCCAGACAAACTCTTTAAATAACACTTCATTACTTACATGCATTAAATAACCAGGAGACATGACAACAGATTTTGATAGAAATTGTAATCTTACTCAGATCAGAGGAGTTACTTAGAATTTATAGAATGGCAGCTGCTCCCCTCCGGGATCACCTCTCAGGAAGTGAAAACGATTAACAGTAAAAAAGGCATTTTATACATCTCCCCTCTGCCACATCATTACATTTTCCATCATACATGTTAGCAGATGATCTCCAGCCTGATCAAAATATTACACTTTGTTCTTAGCTGAAGGACACCGCTCTCATTCCATTCCCAAATACTTGCCACATCAGGGTTTCCGCGGGTCATTAAAAATCATTAAAAGTCATTAAATTATTATTTTTAAAATTAAGGCCTTAATTGGCATTAAGATTCATTAAATGTGATTATTGTGGCATTTAAAATGCTCCTCAGGAGCAGCAATGCGCCCGGTCTGCATAAAAAGATGTCTTTGGTTGCAGTGTTAACGTAGCTTCTTTCTACTGCATGCCGCAAAAATAAGAACAAATAAAAGTAAAAAGAAAGACAGAAGGTTTGCAGTCGCAGTAGATTCAGGATCATTTCAGCTAGGAAGTTTGTTGGTAGTGGGCATGAATGCACGGAGGATGCTGCAGTTTGGAGGAGAACTGACAGTTTCCCTCCCCTTTCATACCAAAACACCATTATACAGTAGCTGTAAGTTAGAAACACGTTCAGCGGTCGTCTGGAACACATCAGATACGTGCAGGTGGTGAAGCGGTTAGCGCGCACGACCCATGTACAGAGGCCATTACTTCTGTCCTTGACGCGGCAGACCTGGGTTCAAATCCAGTCTGTGGTCCTTTGCCGAATTTCTCCCCCTCTCATATCCCCTTTCCTGTCAGCCTACTGTAAGAAAAAAGACCCACTAGTACCATAAAAAGTTTTTGCTAAGCGACTTATGAATAACTTACATTTAATGTATGTGAAAGATCAGATAACTTACCTGTAACTTATGTCGACATGTGCCAGTGTGTTTCAGCATGTTTCAGTGTACTTCAGCTTGCTCATAACTTATACAAAACTGACCCGTAATGTATGCCAGCGTTTTTGCCAGATATTTTCTACGTCAGTCATACAGTTTCTAAATCGTCGAGGTGTGACAGGGGCATAAAACAGAGTTCTGTTCTGTTCAACAGGCTCCATTTCAGACATAACTCAGTTCAAACATCTGTAAATCAGAAACCACAATTAGCTCACAGCTGTAATGTGCTACTTAAAGGAGAATTCCGGTTTTTAACACTTTTAGCCCATTTTCTGTAGTGTCCAGGATGAAATCGAATGATCAACACCAAAATTTTGACAATTGGTCCTGTCTCTGCTTTTTGGCTCATGCAGAATCCCCCCCTGGCTGCTTCAGAATGGCTTCCATAGTGCATGTCCGATAATGTCCTTTTTTAAAATATGCTACTCACCGGGTCGTCAGCGCTGTCCAATGACGTTCCAAAAAAAGTTTCGTAAAGAAAAAACGTTCCTGTAGTGTTTTATTTAGCATTTTGTAAATCCCATTGAGTTCTGTTGGAATAGTCAATACTCCCCTGCCACCGGAAACGGAAATGGGGCCTGTTTACACAGTTGAAGTCTTTTCGCTTCACTCTGTGTACTCCGACGTCGAGGTGCTCTGTTAACGTCTCTGTTAAACACTTTAAAAAACTCTGAAAATGGAATACGAAAGGTGGATTCTTGATTCTCGACGTCGGAGTACACAGAGTGAAGCAAAAAGACTACAACTGTGTAAACAGGCCCCATTTCCGTTTCCGGTGGCAGGGGAGTATTGACTATTCCAACAGAACTCAATGGGATTTACAAAATGCTAAATAAAACACTACAGGAAAGTTTTTTCTTTACGAAACTTTTTTTGGAACGTCATTGAACAGCGCTGACAACCCGGTGAGTAGCATATTTTAGAAAGAGAACGTTTAAGGTTGTTTTAAGGACATTATCGGACATGCTCTATGCAAGCCATTCTGAAGCAGCCAGGGGGGGGATTCTGTATGAGCCAAAAAGCAGAGACAGGACCAATTGTCAAAATTTTGGTGTCGATCATTCGATTTCATCCCGGACACTACAGAAAATGGGCTAAAAGTGTTAAAAACCGGAATTCTCCTTTAATCTTAATCGCCTATTGACAGCTGGAGATGGGCACCAGCAGCCCTCGTGACCCCAGCAGGGATAGACGTGATGAAAAATGGATGGATGGATCTATTACTCTGTTAAAAGGAATTTTAGTGTTTCTGCAATAAAAAATACACTAAAAACTGTAATATGTAAAAGAGAACAGTTGTTTTGTTTTTTGTTTTTTCAACATTTTTTTCTTGAGTTTTATCATGCTGTCTGTGACTGGCGTCTGGTACGAAGTGCTTTGGTGTGGATTTTCTGCCTGTAAAGAAAGAGCGGTCTCTCTAGCCATTTTACACATGTTTTTCTTGCTCGGTAGAAATTTTTTAATACATTTTTTCATTATCCATTTAACTGTATGATTTCAGATGGTAAAAGACTACCTCTTATAACCAGCAGATGGTGCTGCTACTCTATTATACTTTCATTAAATCTGAATCTGACAGGAGAGGAATGTTGGTTTTTTACATTTAGTTTGGGTTGGTTTAAAAACCTTATCTTCCCTTTTTGGCTTTTTTATTTTATTTTGATGTTATTTGTCTTTTTCTTCTAGCCTCCACGTGTCCCTCAGCAGTCAGGGTCAAACCATGGTGTCAGCTCTGGTCTTCAGCACCCTGCTGTGGCTCTCCCTCATCCTGGCTCTCCGCTTCTGCCTGAAGCTGCTGCTCTCCTACCACCAGTGGATGTTCGAGCAGCATGGGAGGGTCTCCAACACCACTAAAGTTTGGGTGGTAAGACACGCATCCCAGCACCCCTCATTAGTAAAGCTTTTTTAAGATGAGAGTCCATTTGAAATCTCTAAATATAATATTCATTGAATCTGTTTAGTTTAAGAAAATTTCATCCATTATCTATTCTTCCTTTCAGACTCTGATGAGGTTATTTTCAAGAAAGAAACCTTTGCTGTACAGCTATCAGACCTCCCTTCCTCACCTTCCTGTTCCTGCCATACAGGACACACTGAGCAGGGTAACTATGGTTACTGGAAAATAGGATCTATCTACGTTGTTGTTATGATTAGTTTTGTTTTCACTGAAGATATATGATGAATCCAGTAAACAGACACTTGATAGATTTTCTCTCTCTGCTCTCCATCCCTCAGTATCTGGAGTCAGTGCGCCCTCTGCTGACGGATCCAGAGTTTGAGCGGATGAAAAACTTGGCTGATGAGTTCGAGTCGAGCCTTGGGCACCGCCTCCAGCGCTACCTCAGACTTAAAGCTCTTTGGGCTGCCAACTATGTAAGTCCATTCATTCGCAGATGAATCAAGATGATGATGAAACTGGTGTAAATAAGCTTACTGATCATGAATCATTTGCTGGCCCCATCTCTGCATGAGAGACTTTGGGGATGCTTCTTCTTTATGTTCCTCTTTAAACTCATCCACTGTGTTTATTTTACATATAAAACACATTTAAAGCACTTAAATTAGACAGACAGCTTGAAATGACTGGTTTTGTTATGTTTTCTGTTTTGTTTCACTTCCAGGTCAGCGATTGGTGGGAAGAATACGTCTACTTGAGAGGTCGAGGCCCCATAATGGTCAACAGTAATTACTATGGCATGGTAGGAAAATCATGCATCAGCACCTGCTACTAAATATATATATATATATATATATACATACATATATTGTCAAATAGTGTTACATTTGGCATTTATTAGGTCAGCCATAGCACTGTTACTATTCACAAGAAGAGCAGACTTGTCTGTTCTTGAGATTGAAAGTTGTCCCAGCATGCACAGTGCATGCTGGGACAACCAGGGGGCTGTGTAGGCTAATATATTAGTGTTTAGAGCAGTGCGCTTGTGCGGTGAGAAGGTTGCAAGTACCCGGTTTGATCCCCACAGTCTGCATTCTGTGCTGTGCTACAAGTGCTACAAGTTTGGTGGCACTGCAATGATCTACTGTAAAGTGTAATAATTGGCTTTTTTATGCTTATAATAACAATGAATAATCTAAAAAAAAAAATTAAATATATTTACAGTTCTAACATTCTTTTTTTTCTTACTTTGGGAATATAGGCCCAACTGTATTTTTGGAGATTTATTCATTGTTATTATAAGCATATAATAGCCAATAATTACACTATAGATCATTGTAGTTCCACAAAACTTGTAGCACACATAGATAACCTAATCTAGTTCACACTACAACTCTTACTTTTGGAAAACGTGCTAAACTCTATTTTTTGAGATTTCTTAATTTTTTTTTTAAGTAAGCCAGGTGCGCAATCTCTGCAACTGGAAGGACTCACCTTGGGTTTGAAAACTGCTAAATTGTAGCTTCATATGTAGTGCTTTTCCTTGGGTGGAATAAATGTTACTCCAGTACTGAAATCATACTGTTTGTCATTCTCTAAGCTGAAATGTTGAATGACGTGAAAAGGCGAGACAAGACAAGATACAATTATTTTTTTCTAAGTTGTTCTTTCTTTTATATAGTGAGCTTTGCACTATAAATCAGTCTGTTGGTGAATGGACAATATAAATAGGCTCTGCCTTGCCTTGTTGGAAAAGCTTGGTTATGACCTGTTCTCAGCTCAGGAACTAGGACCCGTATGATATCTGGTTGTTCAATAGATTTGTCTAAATAAAAGATTTAGATATGACTTATCAAGATATTCCTGCACAAAGGTCTGATGTTGCAGGAGCAGGTAATGAAAAGTGTTTGGAGCATGCTCTTGTTCTGATGCCAGTTTGTTTCAGCCTTTATCCAGCCTTATGTAGAAGGGCTGGTTATATCACAGATTATTTGCATTACAACAAGGACAGTTAGCAAGGTAGAGTGAATACACAAACTTGTAGAGGGGAGGGGGGCTTGCAGGAAAACTGGAATCCTCCAGGATTTCTAGTGCTAATGCACTTTGCTCATGGCAGGAGAAACAGACAGTAAAAATCGGACGTTATTCTTCCCCATAACACGCTTTGCATGTGTAGTCAACCTGGAATGCGACAGCTGTAATATAAATTATTTTACTGCGATTGGATCTGCTCTCTCTCCAGTTCAGCCAGGCGGGCGTACTATAGTGCATACCCACTTTTGCGCCGCTGACAAGCTGCTATAACTTGAGAGAGGCGGTGTGTGCAAATTTGGAAAGCAAAGAGGATGCTCATTGCTCACTTAACTTGGTCAGTCTACTCTACTCATCTTGCAACAATACACCGTGCACAAACTAACACCGCCGCAGAACCTCGTTACCGGACCAGATGTTTAGTTTTTCTGGAATCAGGAGTCATAGTGTTTTCCTTAAGCAGCGCTTGGTTATTTGCAGAAGGGCACATCAGTGCAGTGAAGTCAGAGTGAGGGAGGGCACGTTAAGTTCATCATGTGACCAGCCACGGTTACCGTGGCACGGTAGATCTAAATCAGCGGTCACCAACCTTTTTACAGTTGAGGACTTATTCAGGGGTACTGAGTCACAGGAAGGGCTACCAATACTGACCTATGAATTGCAAGGGTCAACGTTCACCTAAACTTCATACATCCTAAACATATATTTATCGTTTCTTTAAATTCATAATTTTCTTTCAGACATTTTCATTTTGAAATCTCTATAAATGATTAAATGCCATATATGATTGAATGATGAAATGTTCTATAACCCAATTAAAAAAGAAGAGCAACAGAATACAGTGAAATTTCAAACGTAGCTCACTGTGGAGTTGTTCTATTTTCAGAAGACTCTAAGGGCTCCCTTGTGGTCCTTGAGGGCCCCTTGGTGCCCGCAGGCACCATGTTGGTGACCCCTGATCTAAATTATTATTATTTTGGGCATGCACACACACACAAACACACACATGCACATAGATACAAGCACACAATAAATAAATAAAAAAGGCAAAAGGGCACTTTGGGTATAAAGGAGCTTAGCGGCAGGTGCTCAAGCACCCTCAGCCCCCCCCTCTGCACGTCCCAGCTCCTGATCACACCGCTCCAGGTATTACTGTTATTTTCCACATGGGAATTAAGATTCCCGAGCAGAATGATAAAATCCCTAAAGGGGTGCTTTCCAAAACCTCCTCGCAGGGATACAAAGTAGGTCTGGCACTTCTTCCCACCTCTTTGCCTCTGAAAACAGAGACCTCCACCCTATCTGAAGGTGCAGGGGTGCAATGTCTTCATTTATTGCTCCATGGTAAAAATCACTAGAAAAAAACAGGCACTTTGTCATACATTTACCATAAGCAAAGGGGAGCAGGAAGACAATCAGACCATGTTTTGTCTGCCCCAGTTGAAAAACTGAATAACCTTTGCAAAGCTAATTACAATAGAAACAAAGCAATGAAATAACAAACATCTGTGTTCTATTAAAGTAATAAACATATTTTTCTGAAACTATCAATTCTTAATAGAATTTGTTTACGCATATATATGAATTGACACAAGGAGGGGATAATTTTTTTTCTTTTTTTTATTGTTTTTTTTTTTTTTTAGTCTTTTTTTAATGTGCATATTAAAAGCTGTGGCCTTCATTTAGGCCAGAAAACATTTTCAAGCTGGAGGCCTGTGTTTGTCTAACAGCCTCTGTAGGGAGGAAATCTTCTGTTTGCCTGCAGGCCTCTGTTTGGATGGTGGGTTCCATGTGTGGGGGGGCCTTGGTTCATGTAAAGCCCTGCGTCTCGATGGTGGCTTGTATGCAGATGATGGCCAGCATTTATGTAGACGCATGGGTTTGCGTTGAAGCCTCCGTTTGGATTCTGTCTCCTGTTTTCATGGTGGGGGCCTCTAACTGTGGAACCACATCTGTTTCTTTGGGGCCTGTTTTGCATGGGCGTCTCTTTTTGACTGGAAGCTTCAGTTTTCATTGACTCCTCTGTTTGTGAGGAAGCTTCATGATGTTCTTTTTTCAAAGGAAGTTTCAACTCTGCTGTCAATTGTGAGACTTGACTCTTCAGCGATTTGATCAGTTCCTCCTGTTCCTTGAGTCTGGAGTCATTTTCAGTTTTAGTCTTCAGCTGTTCCTCATATTTGAGCCTCAGCTCTCGTTCTTCTACAAAAGCCTCTGCCAGCCTCCCTTCTCTGCTGGCGTTTTTCTCTGCCTGCCTCTTGAGGAAGGCAAGCTCATGTAGGACACTGACGCACACTGTAACTGTGGGAATGCGTGGTAACTTTGACGCACGTGTAGGCTGGGTTACAGTGAATGTTTCCTGCTTCTCCTCTTTCTCCTCACTTTTGAGTCTCATGCGACGTTCAAGTTCTAAACTTTTTTCCAGTTCTGCGATTTGTTTCATCTGAGTTTTGCAGTCAACTTGAAACTCGATTCTTTGTTCTCTTTCCTCATGCAGATCACAAGTCCTCTTGTGCAGCTCTTGTTTTAGAGCAGTAACCTGCTGAGTGAGATCGTTGATGTGTTTGATAGCCTCTTCGATGCACATCGAGCGAGGGATCATCGTAACCGCTGATGCATGGCGTGGCATCCTGTTGCTTTGATAGAACTTGGGGCGGTCAACATCAGTTTTCTGGTTCGTCCCGGTGTGCCATGGCTTTCTCTTGTTTTTATCTGGTTTGGAAGACACATAATGAACTGGGTTATTAAAATGTGGCCAAACTGCATGTTTGTATTGACTAGGGTTGTCAAAAGGGTTGTCAAAAGTATCGATACTAGCCAAGGAAGGAACACTTAATTTTAATTTTGTACGTTTTTTTTATCAAGCTTGCTTAATATTGTGCACTGCATACAACCTCAAAATGTTGTTTATTGTATTTATTTATCTATTTATTGCATTTTGTTTATTAATGAGAAAATTTCTGTTGAATTTTGGAGTCTTTGTTTTTATCCTTGTGGTATCGAAAATGGCATCGAGTATCGAATGTTTTACTTAGTATCGGTATCGAGTTGAAAAGTTTAGTATCGTGACAACCCTAGTATTGACCCATAAAACACTTACCATGATGGTGTGAGTACGGTGCCTCAGAAGAAAGACCCGCACTGGGGAGAGTCTTTGGTTCTAAGGGGGGAGCCTCAATGGTAGCAGAAGAAACCGCTTCGCCTTGGATCTCTGGACCATCTTCTGCTTTGCTGAGATGCAGCTCGCTGGTGACAGAGCTGTCTTCTTCAACTGGGAAAATAATGGCATCATAGTCGACCTGGATGGGGAGGTCTACCATGTCTTCCCATGAAAGTTTAGCTGGAGAGGTTTCATTTCCACAAACAAACAGTTTTTGCTCCATGGCTAACTTTCTATCAATCAGAATATCTACCTAAAAGTCGTGTGATATCTGAGAACGATGTCTGGCTTGTTTCGCTAAGATTCGAACGTGCTTCTCAAAAGGGATCTGTCTCGATGAAGGTCGGGAGCAGATAAGAACACTGGGTGGGTTTATGCTCAGATCCCTTCCAAAGTCTGTGATGTCATCAGCAGTCTCTTTGTGACATCACATGCCAGGTGTTATCGAACATTCTAATCCCAACTGCTGAACACGGAATGCATTTTTAAAAATAGATTAGCTGTTTTTTAAACAATAACTTTCTTCTTTGTTCAATTTGGGTTATTTTTGGTTTTCTTTTACTGATCAGATAAAAAGTTATTCAAATAAAAATATATGCTTTGAAATGTAATTGTCCTTGAATATTTTTTAAGATTTCTCATAGTTTTGTATTTCAGTTTTACAATCAAATACAGACATTTATAAACAGTATTTAACTAAAGTATTACTGTCTTCAAAGACCTCATTACCTACCTTATACCACCCAAGAAGATTCAACACCTTCTGGTAGCGATGTTGCTAGGCAACATAAGGTGGATCAGGTATACTGTAGTTTCCGTATTACATTTAATTCAACAGTAGCTTGCTAAGCCCAAAAGCTCTGAGCTTTTTGAATTTGGGTGAGACTGAGGCCAGTTTGTAATGATTCCTGAAGCAACCTGCACCAGAGTCCAATAGGAAGTGGATCAAGACCATTTCAGCAAGTTAGACTCGATCCAGTTATTTGGTCTGGACCAGATTTTGCTGGGCTTAAATCAGACCTGCACAAAAGATCAGAACCAAGAGGAGGAAACAAACTCTGGTCCATTTAGCTTAATAGGGCTTATTAGTGCTTTTTATAAAGCTATGTGCCACAGAAAGTGCTTTAGAAGAAATCAGCTGATTATAACAGACTCTTTCCCTTCCTACCCACCAATAAAGAACATAGTCAGGGGCGGATCTAGAAAAATATTTATGGGGTGGCGAGAGGGGGGCAGGAAGTTTTGAGGGGTGGCAACATATGGCATTTGTTTACACTGAATTTAATCACAGTTATCACAGTTCGGTGAGAATAGTATGTACAGTATGTGTTTCATGTGAAACAGTTCATGTTAGAAATACATCGTACAATGAGATCTCACCTAATAGGAGATAGAAGAATGATTACACTACTTCTAGAGGGGCCTTATCACAGGAAAGGTATTAAGGTAAGACACAGGTGCTGAGTCGCAGATGTGTGAGATTGACTGTCAGAGAGGCAGCTTTGCAGCATTTGCACAAGAAGAAACTATAGAAAGAAAAAGTTCCCCATCAGAGATCTATGGACTGAGCTGTACTAAAGTGAGCAGAACTACACAGTAGAAATAAATGGGTCAAGGCACCCGAACAAGGTACTGGACATCTATGTAATGTTTACTCTGAACACAGATTTACCCCATTTGTTCCTCAGTAACTTGACATACAGCAGTTAAGGCAACATGAAAGGGACATTTCATGCATGTAAATATGCTGTAGATAGAGCTGCTGTATCAACAAATCAACAAAAAGGCAGGTACTGCATGTTACAACAAAATCTCCACAAATCTGAAAAGAAGCAACATAAAAATAAATTTTGCTTCCAATCTGTAAAAGTACAAAACATTTTGTGAGTAGGTTCATACAGGTCATTTCTGGATAGTTTCATACTATATATACAAAAAAAGAAACAACAACACTGCTTCATACTAAGCAGGATTCACACCAGTATCACATTTTTAACTTTTAACACTTTTGGTTTTCATTAAAGGAAATATCAGATTTTCTCAGGTGCCAAAACAAAATGTAACAGCTCTGTAAAGGCTCACCAGAGAGCATAACATAAAGTTAACATGACTATAACAGCTGAATGCAGTGATTTCCACATTGCTCAGCAAAACACTTCACAAATGTATTTAGATCCAATGCCTTTTTGCGTTTTGATTTGAGTAAAACCAAACTTGATAGTCTCTTTTCTGTCATAGTTGACAGCAAATATGTCTTTATTAGCCTGAGACGTCAGGCCTAACTAACATCATAGTTGGAGAAATAACGTTCTGCAACCTGATTTTTATCATCTCAAAGTCAGCATTGCAGCTATGCTAGCAACATTGTGCTTTCATTATGATTTCATTTCTCTATAGATAGTTAATCAGTTTTTACCTGTTTCATCCCGTGTCTCCTCTCCCCATCACCCCTGGCTCCCTCGCTTTGCCCTGCTCGGTTTTCAAAACTAATCAGTCTCAGTCGCTCCCGCGTCATCTCGTGCTGCATTCACTGCAGTCCGACATTGTAAATTAGCGGTCACAATTCTCAAATTATCCATAATTTATAAGCCTCGCCACCCCTACCGCCAACTGGGGTGGAAGCAGGGGTGGCAAGGCTGTCATTTAGGGTGGCAGTTGCCACCCTATGCCACCCCAGTAGATCCGCCTATGAACATAGTCAACAACAAAAAAAACAGAGCATAAATAGATTTATGGAGGAAGAAGACAGAAGAGATCTTAAAACGGATTCCAAGGATTGCTATAATTTTTTCTATCTTGTTTGAGAAAATAATCAAGCATAATACAAACAGAGGATTTTTTAAAATGACAATGCACATAACAGAACATTCTAGAATAAGTACGGAAACATCTTTTTAATATGTAGTCCCTCAGGTTATCCTAAAAGATTCAACAAATATAATAAAAATACATAGAACTGCAGGTTCTTTTCTTTTTAGAATTATAATTGAAAGTTTATTTATTTCAATAATGCTCACTTTAGTACAGCTCAGTCCATAGATCTCTGATGGGTAACTTTTTCTTTCTATAGTTTCTTCTTGTGCAAATGCTGCAAAGCTGCCTCTCTGACAGTCAGTCTAACACATCTGCGACTCAGCACCTGTGTCTTACCTTAATACCTTTCCTGTGATAAGGCCCCTCTAGAAGTAGTGTAATCATTCTTCTATCTCCTATTAGGTGAGATCTCATTGTACGATGTATTTCTAATATGAACTGTTTCACATGAAACACATACTGTACAAACTATTCTCACCAAACTGTGATAACTGTGATTAAATTCAGTGTAAACAAATGCCATATGTTGCCACCCCTCAAAACTTCCTGCCCCCCTCTCGCCACCCCATAAATATTTTTCTAGATCCGCCCCTGCATGCACTGCAGCAGCAGATGCTTCCAGGTTGGAGCTCACAGAGCTCAGATTATAAAGTTAGAAGTTCTATTTTTTTTTGTCTTGTTTTAAGATAATTTAAGGCGAGACCATTATATGACCTATTATAAGACCTCCAAGGGTTAACATTAGCCCGTCTGCAGCAGCCCTCTCGTGGCATAGCCGTGTGTGAAGTACCACTAGCTCTGATGCCGATTTTTTTTTTTGGCAAAGTGTTTATTTGATTTGTGTTTATCTGACTGTGTTCATTAATATTCCCCCAATAAATGAATTTATTATTATCTAGAGACTATTAATAACAGGAGGCGAAATGCTGCTCCAGATGAGCTGAGCGTTTGGTGACGTCGTCAGTACGCTTCTGTTCCAATTGACCCATATTTATGCTGCATGCTCCCGTTCTACCAGAGTCCAGACTTTCCTGTGTTCTTCTCAAGAACATACTTGCCAAGAACATGAATCCATACCTTCTTGTGAATTGAGAAACAGCCCATGTGTCTGATTTCACCTCAAATTCACATAAGCAACACTTGATGTACAACAGGCATCTCCTTCTCTCCTACAAAACAGAGAAATGAGGTTACTCCGTTCACTCATCTCATCTTTCCTATTTAACAGTTCTGCTCTCCCATCCATACGATGGAAAATAGCTGTTCTGTGTTCTGTTTACCACTGCTCTCCATCCACTTCATGTTTTCAGCTGAAATGGTTTCCCAACTGTTGAATGAGAAAGTTTAGTGTAGGATACATTTATCAGAGTTTCCTTTTGTTCTCTCCAGGACTTTCTGTATGTGACGCCAACATCGGTGCAGGCGGCCCGAGCAGGAAACACCATTACTGCGCTCCTGCTCTACCGACGCAAAGTAAACAGAGAGGAGCTGACACCGGTGAGAGATAATAATTATTCACTACTGGAGTTTATCTGTACCTTTGACAAAGCAGATGAAGGTCATGTTTCTTTAACAAGAGAATGTAAATGTGCTTTTTCGCAGCCTTTAATTCAATTCAGCTTATTTATATTGCACCAATTCACAACACGTCATCTCAAGGCACTTTACAGAGACAATTCAACTAAATCACACAGTCAGATTGATGGGTTTGATTGTTTTTTATCTAAGGAAATCCAGTTGATTGCATTGAATCATTGACTCAAATGCAATCCCTCACACTAAGCATGTTTTTTTTTTATAATGTTCCAATAGTTAGCCTAATGCCATCTAACTTTTAATCATCATCATCATCTGACCAGAGAAGTCACGCTGCTCATTGGTCAAGGGTCGGCAACCAAACTGTTCAAAGAGCCATATTTGACCAAAAAAACAAATCTGTCTGGAGCTGCAAAAAAGAAAAGGTCTTATATAAGCCTTGTATGGCAACATGGGCTCCAAGTGAATTAGCCAACTATAAGAAAGGACTATGTGGGCTTAAATATATAATAAACATTCATATTTAAATTAGTGCTGTCAATCGATTACATTTTTTTAATCGCATCAATGCCTAAGTTAACTCGCGATTAATCGCATTTTAATCACACATTTTTTTTCTGATTGAAAATCATTTAAATACTCTCGATGACATACAAAAAATACATACAGGCTAGGTTTGTGCCGATGTTCTTTTTTTTTAAATGAAAACAGGTCACAGACACTGATTTATGCCATAGGCATATGGCAAGAAGATGGGGAGGGATGTAGCAAAAAATAACAAATATGTAGCCAAAAAAAAAGGCCCTGAAAACAGGCTGATGTAAAAGACAGTCTTTACAGTTAATACAGTCTTTTGAACAAAGACAAGCATTTTACCCTACTGCTATAAAATGTAGTACAGTTAACATTAGATGTCAATTAACCAAGGTAATAATGAACAATTTTCAATCAATACATCAAAAGCAATAGACCGACATCACTAGATGGAGGTAGTCTATGCTCTAGAAAGTTACTTTTCAGCCTCTTAACAAAGATGAGAACACACCCACCCACACACACACACACACGATACTGACCTGTGGCGTACACAGACAGCAATAGTGCCGTAGCAGATTCCATTTCACCTCAGTAATCTGTTTTCTCAGCGTATTTCAGGTTGCTACTAGTTACCAGACACTCAACTTGTTTGTTGGTGGTGGGGCTTAAAGAAAAGGCACTAGCGCTACCCAGTGTATGAGCGTCTTTTTTCCTTGAGGAGCTCCGCTCTCGAAGCCTATGGAAAATGCAGACTGGGGGAAAATAGCCCCGCCTTTCCGCAGGCTGCAGTGGGATGTACTTGGAAAATTGTACCATAAAACCACATAGCGTTAATCTCACGTTAAAAAAATTATCGCCATTAAAATGGCCTCGCGTTAACGCGATAATAACGCGATAATTTTAACAGCACTAATTTAAATGCTTTGGACTGCTTAGTGTTGCAGTGGGTAGCACTGTTGCTTTGCAGCAAGAAGGTTGCAGGTTCGATTCCTGGCCTAGGGTCTTTCTGCATGGAGTTTGCATGTTCTCCCTGAGCATGTATGGGTTCTCTCTGGGTACTCCGGCTTCCTCCCACAATCCAAAAACATGACTGTGTGTCTCTGTGTTGCCCTGCGATGGACACCAGCACCGCTCACGACCCTGTTTGGGAAAAGCGAGGCGGAAAACGGATGGCTGTATTAAATGTTTATCCTGGAGCAAATTTCACATCATGTGACAAGTCTACTGTATGATATTTGGTGCTTTAAGTTTAAATTCCATTGTAATACAAGGTGAGAGAGGAGCAGTGAGCGCTCGCACCCCGTGGAGCTCACTGCTCGCCGCTTCACCGCCCTTCACCGCACAGTTTGTATGTATTAGGTTTTGTTGTTAAAGAGCCGCATGCGGCTCTGAAACCTCGGATTGCCGACCCGTGATCTATGAGATAACTCATCTTCTCATTTTAAAGAGAATGTGATTCATAAAATTCTATTTAAAGAAAAGAAATGTGGACATTTTAATGATAAAATCTGCTAAATTAGGGGGGAAAAAGTTGCTCTTTGCTTGCCACAATAATGAAACACAACTCAGCCCACGAGATGACTTTTATGTTCCTGGGGTTTTTTAAAACTCTATGTATAAAAGGAAAAAAGATTGAGAAATATAGAGCAGAATAGAATAGAATGGAAAGTCCCTCTATTGTCCCAAATGGGGAAATTCTGGAGTTTACCACAGCAAAAAGATTATTTAAAAAAAACGTGGACCATAGAAGAGTGCATAAAATTAACATAATAGTGAAGAGTTAAAAAAATATATTTATATATATTTATAAAATATTGTACTGTAAAATTGTTAAAATGTTTTATATTGTATAAAAATTGTTTTAACAATATAAAACTGTGCACCTGGAGAATAAATAACCAATATACAGCTGTGGGCTTTTTTACATTAATGGATATTTAAAAACAGCAACAACATCAGAGATCTGCAAAATGACAGCAGCGTGTTATTTAACTGACTAAGGTAGAAACTGTGTAAAAATCAGCATGAATGTAGCGACTTATTGAGGTCTTTGGGAACATTGGTGGTTGTAGAGTCTAGAGGGAGGAAGGATCTGTGATAACGCTCCCTGGTGCAGCAGTCTGTCACTGAAGGAGCTCTCCAGTTCTGCAACAGCTTCATGCATAGGGGGGGAAACATTATTAGTGTTGCACCGATACCAGTATTGGGCAGTGCTCCGATCCAGCACTAAAATGTTGGCACAAATACGGCACCGATACCATTTTGAGAGCCAAAGGTTTATTCAACTATTGTTACTAGGGATGCACGATATAATCGGCCCCCTATCGGTATCAGCCTGTATCGGCCTTAAAACTGAATATCGGACATCGGCCACCCCACCGATATTTAACCCGATATTTGATCAGCTTCTGAGTTTCTAAAGTCTAAAAAAAAAAATAAAATACTACTTCTTCTTCTTCCTCAAAAACTTATTTTTTACAGACTTAAAAACTTCTATCTTCATATGCTGATATATTGCAATTTAAAATCACCATATCAATCTCTTTTACTAATGAAATATTGCTATATGTCGTCGTTATGCGACGAAATCCCCCGAAAATTCAAGAAATTTTGACATATTTTTATATGTTGATATATTGACGCAGTATCGATCTATTTTACTAACAAAATCTCACAAGAATTTGCAAAATATCAGGAGAGTTTGTAACAGAACGATGAAATTTCACAAGATTTTGAAATAGGTCGATACCGCGTGTTTAAAAATCAATTTGATATCAGCATATGAAAATATATTTAAGTATATTATTTTTCAAAGTGTCAGAAATGGATAACAAAACTGCTATTTTCAATGACTACTTATTTTTGTCCAGCTTTAACATTGGTATCGATATCTGTTATCGGCTACATGAGTTTTAAAATATCTGCATATCGGATATCGGCCAAAATCCCAATATCGTCCATCCCTAATTGTCACCCATTCCATGTAGGCAATAAAAAGTTTTACTGGATTCACTTTGTATTAGTCTATTTCCTGCTTCACAAAGGAAGGCAGCAGCTTGACAAAACCATGATGGCAATTATTTTACATCTAAGTAGTCTGCAGTTCTTCACAAATACACACACATCAATTTCAAACAGATGGTATCGGTATCGCCAATACTGCACAGCCGGTTATCGGGTATCGATATCGGGGCGGGGGAAAAAAGGCATCGGCACAACACTAGACATATCAAACGGAGATGGTAAATTAGTTAGGATACTTTTGTTTTCCACCTCCTGCACTGAAACCAGAGGGCATCCAATCACAGAGCTTGCCTTATCCAGCCGCTTTCTCTCAGCTACAGATAAGCCACTGCTCCAACAGACAGCTCCATAGCTAACAATAATAAAGGAGTAAGGGAAGCACAGAGATGAATGAATAATAGAGGGTGTTTGTCTCACTGTGTTTCAGAGTCGTGTTCCAGGCACTGTGATCCCTCTGTGTGCAGCTCAGTGTGAGAGAATGTTCAACACTACTCGAACACCAGGAGTTGAGACAGGTAAATAAACACACATGATGCATGTTAAACTTAGTAAAAGCTTCACAGAAACCACATTGTTATGAAAAATATATAGAGTTAAGTTAGGCTGAAGATAAAAAAAAAGCCATGCCTTGATTAGCTTTAATGTCCCTTACAGATGTGCTCCAGCACTGGCAAGACAGCGAGTTTGTGGCAGTTTACCACAAGGGGCGTTATTTCCGACTGTGGGTTTATCGGGCAGGTCGCCTGCTTTCTCCCAGAGAAATCGAATATCAGATCCAGAGAATCCTGGATGACCCTTCACCCCCACTTCCTGGCGAGGAAAAACTGGGAGCTCTAACAGCTGGAGACAGGTAGCCGTTACGCACCACCTGTCATACAAACAGTTAACTAAGTATTTAGTAGAGTCTCTTGTTGGTTTTTCTTTTGTGGGTTTCTATTTTGTAGAGCAGCTTAAAAGTGGACACTTTAAAACCTGCATTTCTGTTGCTTTTCCTGGTTTATTTTATTTATTTTTATGTTTTTTTGACATATTTGGAAAGTTTTTGGAAAGTTCGGACAGAAGAAGCAGCGGAAATCGGATAAATCTGATGGCTAAACACGTTCAAAATCTGGATTTCATTGTGCTTGGTTGTGTCACACCATTTTTTTAGTTGGATCTCTGTTGTATTTGTAAATGTTTAGTGCATTTAAAATAGAGTTGTTTTTTTCAAATACTGAGGTTATTATACAGTAGACTGTAGGGGTGAGTATTGGAATGGGTGTTGCGATACATGTCACAATACTTGGGTCAACTGCAGATATGAAGCAGCGCCGCACAGCTAAAGGGCTCCACAGCACTATCTGCCAGACTGGCGGTACAAAGGCAGCCAATTTTCCCTCAGTTTTAGGTAAAAATGTATAAAAGTTTAGCTAAAAAAAAAATCAATACTAGGAACTTAAAAAATCAATATTATATCAGGCAACCAATAATCAAAATATATTACCAAAACGATTGAAATGCTGAAATGTACTGAAATGTAAAATAATAGCAAATAAAGGTAATAATAAGTCTAGAATCCAAAGATATTTGATCCTTAAGAAATGGGTGTAATACATTTTGTCCAAGCGTGTTGCCATATGTTGACTTGATAAGAAGGGGCAGGGCCCCCGAGCAGATCTGGTACCTACACCACTGCTCCCCAACGTTTAATATGTTCAATAGTCCCTGCACTAATCTGTGAAGTTTGGGTTCATTTTCTAGTCCTTACTTTGTTTAACTTATTGCTGTGTATTTTTTAGTGTTGCCATTTATTGTTTTCTCATTTCATTCTTCTGTTATTTTATATTTGCTTGTATAGTCACAGGTGTCCTTATCTTGTCTTTCTCTTCCACCCATTTTCCCCATAATTTAAGTCCTCAGTTTGTTCTGATTTGTCACAGTTTCTTGTTTTTATTTCCCCTCTCCATTCCTTATGTCTGCTTTGTTCATCCTCCTTAATTCCCTCGACATCAACCCTTGATGGAAAAATCCAACCGGAATAAACAAAGTTTGGACTTTCAGAGGGCGATGTTACAGAGGCAGGGACAGTCAAAGACAAAAAGGCTCAGTAGTCAGGTCCAGAATCAAACCCCAGGGAGTAAAATCGAGTGTAAATGGAGGCTGACTAGATAATCTGATGGAGACTGACTGACAGAAGGAAGCTTTATCAGCAGGGACTTAAGAGTGAATGATCATTGCAAACTGTTATCAGTTGAACATCTGTAGTTCTATAAGTAAACCTCAGGTTGCTCTCAGTACTCTTTAATGCATGACATTCATCCTCAAATGGAAGATTTAAGTTAAATGTTTATTTCCCCCATCCAAGGATCCCGTGGGCTCAGATGCGGCAGCAGTTCTTCAGCTCTGGGATCAATAAAAAGTCACTGGATGCCATTGAGAAGGCGGCTTTCTTCGTAACACTGGATGATGAAGAGCAGGGGATGAAGGGAGACGACCCAGCAGGAAACCTGGATCGCTACGCCAAGTCATTGCTTCATGGAAAATGTTACGATCGGTGAGAATAAAAAGGCGCATCGACACAATGCCTTTTTTTGGTTGAAATGATCATGATTTCCATTCAATCAATATCCATTTCAATCGTTCAATCTCGAGCTCAGAAAACTGGCAGCAGCCTCCGAACTAAATTGCTACAAAAACAGTTTGGTAGACACACAACATCTGGTGTTTTAAATAGATTACTTAAACTTTCACCATTTCCTGGAGCGATCAGTGTGCTCAGTGTTGATACCTCAGATTTACATTACATGCTCCGTCCTAATTCTCTGCTGTTTGCCATCTCAGCATAGCTTCAAAATCAAACTTTGATTGCTTTTTAAGCTCCTTATTTGAGTCCCAGTATTTACTGGTTGCACCAACTCCATGACAGCCATGAGCGGATAAACCCATAGATCAGGGGTTTTCAAAGTATGAAAGGGTGAGCCCCCCTCCAGGGAGCACTATGCCTGCTGCGCCCCCCCCCCCCAAAAAAAAAGAAATCAACCCACACACAAACAAATGCCACTACAAAACACCTTGTAATTGCTTTTATTTTAGAACCATCTCATCTTTTAAAATGACACTATCTGAATGGAATTTAACACATGAACTTTTTAAAACATTTCCTCCCATTTTAATTATTTTATCGGGGCCTTTGTATGGCAAATACGCCCTTTTTTTTTCATTTTTCTAATGATAAGAACAACCCAAACTCACCTTTCAACTGTTTTCTCAAACAAAGGTTACATCTGAGATTCTGAGTTTAATGTTTGAGATACCAACACTGTTTTCACATCTTAACAAAAACATTTTGATCAGATCTTCATTGAGAGCTGTGGTAATTCAGTCCCTACTGACACCCAAAAGTGCGCAAGTGACACGTCACTCATCCTCTGTTTCAGGTGCATGTCACAGCTCAGCTCAGCCAGAGCCTCTTCCTCTCCTGCTGAAAGTTAATCTTTGAGTGTCATGGGGAAGGAAAATGGGTTGCTGACTCACTGGTTTGCTATTGTCTCCTCTCCAAAATACTTTCTAAACTGCTCACGCATCGCCTCCAAATGCGCGCAGACAGCCTGCTGTAAAAACTCCACCTTCAGCCCCGCTCTGGACAAAACAACCTCTAAGATGGGAAACATTTCCACTGATCCCAGCTCCACACGCGCACCCCACAGTTCCAACTTGGTCCTAAATCCATATTTATTTTTTCCCTCTCACCGCGCCTCCCCTAAGACGCGCGTCACACTTTGAAAACCGCCGCCATAGATTGACTGGATGACAAATATTAGATTGTTTTTCCTAGCGTCGGCCAATATGTGCATGTGTTGACACGTTCTGCAGCCGTGCCTTGGGATCACATGAAGTGCATACCCACCATTCCCTTTATTTGCTGTAGTTTTGTTTAATTTCATAATAAATGCTTATTTTTCTGTTTAAATTGCAAAAAGTTTAACTTGTTTATGATTGTCCCATTTTCACTATGCACATGGAGGAAGAAAAAAGCAATACTGACTTCAAGATGCTTCCCTAAAATATCAGCAGCTCATATCAGTCATGGGTTAGACCATTTTCAAAATCTCTCTTGACATCGGACTCAAATAACCTGTATCAGTCGACCATTAGTAAAGAGTTTGGATCTAATTTTAGGGACTTTTATGAAGTATTCAATTCTAATCATATAATTAATTAACAACCATAATTTAATTCAGTTCCGTTTATTTATATAGCGCCAATTTACAACACATATCATCTTAAGCCACTCTATAGTTCACCAGATCATACAGTCAAATTGATCCAAAGTTTTCTCGGATGTAATCCCTCACACTAAGCATGCTTGTAGTGACAGTGGAGAGGAAAAACTCCCTTTTAATAGAAGAAACCTACAGCAGAACCAGGCTCAGTGTGAGCAGCTAGTGTGAGAAGCAGTGATACAAAAATAAATATGAGAAATTAATCCATGAAAAAAAAAAAAAAACGGCATATATGAAATAGTGATGGGTGCACAAGCACTTATACGCCGGCGCATGTGTTGAGCTTTAACAGCAAAACCGTGTGTCGGTGCACGTATCGTTTCAAGAGAGTCATGTGGTTTCTAACTGACTAATGACCTAAACTCTGTAATTTTAATTGAAAATATGAAATAATACATTATCGCAAACAATGGCTTAAATCATATTATAGGTCATTAAATCAGCGACAGTTTACTCTGTCAAAGAAGCTGCGTGTTGTGATTTTAAAAGTCCAGCAGGTGTCAGTACACAGTGATAGCTTGAAATAATAAACATACAGTTTGCAAATGTGTTGAAACTCTTCATGACGCCTCATGAACCCATCATAAACTTGAATATACTGAATAATATAAGAAACTACGTATCTGAACTCAGCCATGATAGATCAATAGAGCAGCCCAAATAACACTTTACTGGTTTATAGATCTTCATAAAGCCGACAAGCATGCCACTATCTCATAATTGTGAGGTTGTGTAGAGGTCTGTAGAGGATCCAAATGTTGAGATGGAAGCTGAAGTGGTTTCTTGCAGATTTTCAGAAGTGGTGGCATCAGAGGTATAAAACCAGAAATAACTAATCAAGGAACTAGGGAACAAAGGAGAACACATGGAAATCAACTAATTGGGAGCAGGTGTGGACAAAGGGATCTAGAAGGGAGCTCGGGGAAAGGAGACTGGCACAAGTAAAACAACAGTGCTTAAATATTTCTAGAAATGAACTTAGATGAGACTAATGAAAATGAAACCAATGACTCGGAAAACACCGAAAGACATAACTCAAAGTGTAATAAAAAACCTAAAGTAAAAACTTGGAACGGAGGCAAAAATTTTGATGAGATCTTGACAGTAATAATCTAAGGTAATTCCAGTCCAAAATGTAGAATAGTAAAACACTCCGGGTACCTGGCAGAAAGCTGCAGCACGGCTGCACCACACCCTTCTACGATGCTCCCACTTTAGTGGAGTCGAGGGTTTACTATAACTTTCTTCAATCTGCAAACTGGAAAATTTGCATTTTTAAGCATCTCAGAAATGTTTGTTAAGCCATGGATGTCATAGCAATACAGAGATATCAATGAGTGACCTTTTAGGAGCACGCCATAATATGCACTATGATGATTTTCTCTGCTCATCAGACTTTAAGTTACACCCCCAAACTGGTCTCTAACTGCAGCTTTTGTCCCTATTACACTTTCTGTTAGGTGGTTTGATAAATCTTTCTCCATCGTGATTTACAAAAATGGCAAGAGCGGCTTGAATGCAGAGCATTCCTGGGCTGATGCACCAACGGTGGCTCATCTCTGGGAGGTAAGCACGTCTATTATAAATCTGCGCTACTGCGTTGATTTTGTTCCGTTAGTAGAAATAATATGTCTTAACAAGAAAGTAACTTTTCTGTATTTTTTAGATTTATATATATATATATATATATATATATATATATATATATATATATATATATATATATATATATATATATATATATTTATATATATATATATATATATATATATATATATATATATATATATATATATATATATATATATATATATATATATATATATATATATATACATATATAAAAGAATTAATAAAAATCATTCTGAAAAATGTATAATTTAATAAATAAAATCAAAATATTTAAATTATTTAAAAAATTTGTGTGTGGGGGGAGATTAAGTAAATTACTAAATAAAATAAATATATATATATATATATGCTTTAATATCAAAACATTGTCTGTATCCAATTCTGCAAGACAGATGATTTTACAAAGACTCCTTGTTAGGTTTCCAGAAGTCGTTGAAAAACTGTACAAAAGCCCTCTTGCCTTCCAGTTAAAGCCTGTTTTGTGGTTGAAATGACTGAGAAATGAAACAGGCATGTTCCTCAAGTGAGTCCAGTTTGAACATGATAACTTTATGAGATTAATGGAGGCTGGTGAGCTATTGCTTCGTTGGAAACAAAACCTGCCCTTTCCGGAATCGGCTTAACACCTGTGCTTTACAGTAAACACACTGGTAGATTTTCAGTTATTTCAAAGCTGTCTGTCTTCTGACTAAAGCTACTTTCATCAGCCCGATAACATGTTATTTTTTTCCCCAGTATACCCTCGCTACAGATGCCTTCCAGCTGGGCTACACTGAGGAGGGTCACTGCAAAGGCGAAGTGGATCTGTCGTTGCCTCCGCCCCAGAGGCTTGCGTGGGAAATCCCAGCAGAGGTATAAGAACCATTGAAAGACGTTGATGTTGGAAAACACTCAGTAGCTCATAGTCCTTGGATTTTTCTGTTGTATTCATGTTAGAAATGAAAACCTGAGATTGTCTGTCTGTTGGCTGGTTTTCTAACAAACACTGTACATTTTCCAATTTTAAAATATTCTAACCCGGCACTCAACATATCATCCTTGACCCAACAATAGTTGGTCTCCAGTGTTCTGCAGCGAACCATTTAGACTCTGTAGAGTAATTATGTCTCAATATTTTATTGAAAAGTAAAAAAAATAATAATAATTCCAATAATGAAACTTTGAAAAAAGTTTTAATCAAGAAAAAATCTTTGCTGTTTTCTCAGGATAATTTTTTTTCATCTTTTTATATTTTATTAGCTTATATCAACTTTTATATACCGTATTTTCAGGACCATAAGGCGCACCGTACTAAAAGGCGCAGTCTCAGTTATGTGTCCCATTTCTGTATTTAACACACACATAAGGCGCACCAGACTATAGGGCGCGTTTTTTATATACCGGTACATGTCCTCTACTATGTTTAAATACCTCTACTGCGTATTTAAAAATAGAGCGGGAGCAAAACTGAGTATGACTGTGCTTTATTTATGTATTTATTACAAAGTATTAATCAAACCTGGGAGCTGGCCGTGAGACAGACACATCGCTGATGACAGAGCGCTGTGATCACTCCTAAATTAACTTAAAATCCTGAAACCTGCCGACGGAATATGTTCGCTTTTATTACCGGTATCCTGGTGCCCGCAGTTTAAATTATTTAGATGAAAAACACCTGCCAGCCGCTGCGGTGAACCCGGAGGCTGCCCGGCCTAGAGGCTGCTGATGAAGGGATTTCTACTGTCGGTGCACCGTTGGTATGTGGTGTTCTGAGCGCCTCCGACAGAAATAGTATAGGCAGGATGATAATCTGGATGAACTGACTGCAATTATTACGTTTTTAGGTGGACTTTCTCACTTAAAAACATATTAAAACTACTTTATTCCCCCTGATCACAGCAAATATAGCTGCAAGATTTAGATTATTTAGATGAAAAAACACCTGCCAGCCACCGCGGTGAAACCGGAGGAGACCCGCCCAGAGGCTGCTGTTGAATTAAGTTTTCAGGTAGAAAAATAGAGCGGGAGCAAAACTGAGTATGATTGTGCTTTATTCATGTATTTATTACAAAGTATTAATCAAACCCATCAAAGTCATCCTCCTCTGTTTCTGAATTAAACAGCTGCGCTAAATCAGACATGCCAATTTCCCCTTCTTCGCTGTCAAAGTCACTTTCCGTGCAGCGCGGCTCCTCAGAAATAATGCCTGCTTTTGCCAAAGCTTGAACAACAGAGCCAGCAGACACGTTAGTCCATCTACAATCCATCCGCAAACGGTGGCGTAACTTGCCCGGCGCTGCCTTCCACTTATCCTGAAACTGTGGTCTCCGTCTGTCATCCATCGCTCCAACGCCGCTCGCAGCCTTACTTTGAACGGCCGGTTCACACCGATGTCGAGCGGTTGAAGTTCCTTTGTCAGACCAGGATAACAGCGAGCACAGCGTTTATTTGTTTCACCATGTTTTTCACATCAGCTGTGAGATGGGCACGCATGGAGTCACATATTAACAGCGATGGTGATGAGTGGAAAAAAAAACACCTGGTCTCCTTACATTCAGCCACTCTTTCATCATCTCCTCAATGAGGTGGTCTAAAAAGTCGCAGTTACAACACACATAGGGTGCACCGCACCAAAGTGCGCGCCGCACATTTTGAGGGGAAAAAAAAGACGTTTATGTGCGCCTTATAGTCGTGAAAATACGGTATTTAAAATTTTTTTTTACAGGTTTAGTATTTTAAAAGTGTTTTGTTTTTTTTAGCTCTGTTTAAAATACTGTTGTACAGGTCACATTCTCTTTACTGCGGGGGGTGGGTTTTAGTGGCGTGAGGAGCAAAGACGCATTTCTGTTGGTCTGCTGAATGGTAGCAACATTTGGATTGGTCAGTGCGGGTTAAGAGACGCCGCTTGTATTGGGATTAAAGCACAGAGAATGTGATCTGTGAAATGCAAAAAAAAAAAAAAAAAAAAAAAAAGAAATTAGTCATCAAATCCAACATGAAAAAAGCAGAAGTTAGAAAAACAAAATAATCGCCTTAAAAAAAAAACGACTTTTTTTTATATTGTTACTTTTTGAAAGAAATTTTATTAAAATTTTTTTTAACTGAAATAAAATATGTAAAAATATATTTTTGAAAAAAAATCATTTGTAAATGAAATCATTTAAAAGACAGAGGTTGGAAAACAGTAAAGTTACTCTAAAACCACCTTTTTTAAATGAAATGTTTTTCAAGGTTTAATTTCTGTATTGCATTTTTCCAAATTTCCATTTTTTAACATGTGTTCTTTGCTCACAAAATAACGGAACTAAATTCCCTCCATAACCTCTACAGATTCCACCTTAGAATGAACCTGATAATCTATAGGGTCACTTTACTAAGTGTCCTTTAACTTACCTGAAATTCAGGATAAATAGGTCTCTGCAGTTTGGAGTCATGGAAGATAACCAGGCTGTACAGGAAATGCAAGGAGCTAAAGTGAACCATGTTTGATCAGGCAATTATCTCTCCTCAAAGCTTTATGCACTCATTACTCCTACCAAACTTGAAGGAAATGTTTTCTGTATTCTCATTGGAACTACCAGGCATTATGTTCCAGATCTCAGATTTTTTTATCTCTTGCCAGAAAAGACTAGATTACTGAACACTTTTTGCTTCAGTGTATCTAAACCCTGATTTTTTAAAAAATATAGTTTTCAAACCTTTTTTATAAAATACAAACGTGTTTACTAGTTACTAGGGGTGAGTATTTGCATGGGTGTATGATATGATACGTTTCACGTATCATATGATATTATCACTATCTTGCAATATCACCATATATTGCGATATTTTTCCTGCTAAAATGAAATGTATAGAGAAAGAGGGAACCTCTCTCTATGTTCATCAGAGGATATTGATAATTTTGTTATTTTGGTATCCATGTTGCTTGGGGTTAGAGTCATTTCACGCCTTCCACTGTGACTGCCTCAACTACAGATATAGCGCTACGCCGCACAGCTAAAGGGCTCTACAGCGCCATCTGTAAGGCTGGCAGGGCGGAGGCAGCCCATTTTCCCTCTGTTTTTGTTACACACCCATACTAGTTACACTCCTGTCAAGTCACAAAGACACAGAGGTCTCCTGTAAAACAAAAACATCAAATAGAGTTAATAGAAGAACACAATTCAACTCTAGAATATTGAAAAATAGAACAACCCAGAACATCTGTTAGTTTGGTCTTGATTTGAGAATCGACTGAAATTCACAATCTGTGTTATTTTAGTTTGTGTTTGAGAGTCTGAAGGAACAAACTTCAACATTATTTTTGTCCTTTATTCCATTATTTTTGAAAGAGCAAATTTTTTGAATGAAAATCCGAAAGAACACATTTTATAAATTGAAATTAGAAAAAGAAATGCGATCCAGAAAAATAATTTAAAAAATTTTTCTAATCAAAAAAAAAAAAGTTTTTGAGAAACTTTTCTATTTTTCTGTTTGTTTGTTTTTTTAGATAATTTCTTTGAAATACACAAAAATAAAAAAGTTTCATTTCTGATTAGGTTTTTTTTCCCAAATTTCTATTTACTAAATGTGTTCTTTGCCTGCAACAATACTTTGTGTGCTTTTGTGTTTAATACATTGTGACTGGTGTGACCGATGCCACACGCATATGTACAGCAGGGGGCGGTAATCACCTATTTTTTGCAGCCAGCGATAAGGAAGAAGTATACAGATGGTGGCTAGGCTGGTCCTTAGCAGATCGCTCCTGATCCATTACATACTGTAATAGTGACTATATTCCGCCGCGTTCTGAACATTTAGCCACATTGTGAAAGAAAACACAATGACAAGATTTAATGGTATGACTACTTTTTATCAACACATAGACCCATTTGCCGCTGTTCTGTCAGATGAGAATACCTGCTCAGGCCAGCATACCCAGGGTCAATAATTCAATTCAGTTTATTTCTATAGCGCCAATTCACAACGCATGTCATCTCAAGGCACTCTACAGTTCAGCAGATCATACAGTTAGATTGATTCAAAGTAGGGCTGCAACTAACGATTATTTTAAAAATCGATGAATCGGACGATTATTTTTTCGATTAATCGATGAATCGGACAAAAAATATTTTTTATATTAACCTCTTTATTCCAAAATAAACATTTTAGACAGAACAAACAAGCACACAAGTACAGGTTGCTCATTAACTGTACTGGTGCAATATGAAAAATAAATGTTTGTGTTAAAACTACGCAAACTTACATGAGAAATGTGGCTGTACATCCACAAAATATAGGGTACTTTGTTTCATAAAGCGCAAGAAAAGACAGGCATTTTTGTTTTTAAAAGCCCCTAAGGGGTTCAAACAATAGGCCCCCCCATTTCAACAAATGAGTTTTTTTTAGACTAGAAGAGTTCTGCCTTTTAAGACAGGAAAGTATAGCAGTTAAAGTTGCTACTTGAGAAAATACTGAACCATAGAGATAAAAATAGCCCTGTGATTCAAATTATAAATTGTATTTGGAATAAAAATGAGAACTAGGGGTGCTAAAAAACACATCCTCCAAAGACGTGTGGCATATAATTAATTGACATATTACTGATCTTGCTGGATTTTATTCTGCTTTACTTCCATAAATTGCAGGATCATCTTTACTTTATCTTTGCCAGAAGATTTAAACTTTAAAAGTCTTGCCCTCATAATTTGCAAGTTAATTTATTTATAAAGTAAATATAAACGCTGCTTAAGCTAATTCGAATGAAATTAAAAGTAAAATAAGTAGCCAACCTTATCACTGTCTGTAACCTACTAACACGGTAAGGAAAGCATCAGATGAGCTACCTGAGAAACTAACGTTACGTTTCCCCACCTTAAAACCAAACAAACATGGTGGTTCCGTGCCATGTTAATTTCTTTTGAAAAAAGTTGCATGTTATCACTTTTTTCGCTTTACAAAGCGCAGGCTATTTTAATTATTGTGATCAATTTGCGCCGTCAATCCCGGTGCATGCGCGCTTCATTTGCAGTCTGGACTGAGAGGGACTCCTGCGGGAAAACGCGGTTTGGGGTGGGGGAGGCGCCCCACGGCAGAGTAGGAACGATACATGCTTTCACGTAAGAGTCTCCAAAAGCCGCCAGTGACACCGAAAAAAGTCGCCAGATTTGTCGCTAGTCGCTTTTTTGAAAAATAGTCGCTGGAGGGGTCTGAAAAGTCGCTGAGTTGGCAACACTGCACCTGGGGCGCTGACTCGCTCTGCCGTATTTTTTTTCTTCCTCTTTCAGTCAAGAGGCAGTGATGACGGCGCGGCGGATGACGCAATAATCGCGCGACACAACTAATCGATGATGAAATTCGTTGCCAACGCTTTTTATCGATTTTATCGATTCGTTGTTGCAGCCCTAATTCAAAGTTTACTATCTAAGGAAAACCAGTTGATTGCATCGATTCATTGACTCAAAGGCAATCCATCACACTTAGCATGCTTGTAGAGACAGTGGAGAGGAAAAACTCCCTTTTAACAGGAAGAAACCTCCAGCATAACCAGGCTCTGTGAGCGGCCATCAGCTGAGGCCGACTGGGTTTCAAGGAGACAGAAGCAGAGAGAGAAAAGGCAGCTGTAAAAGGAAACACACTCGCTGTGTGTTTCCTGGACAGCCAAATAAGTGTTTAACCCTTTAGTTTATCCGCGTTTTTCCCTTTAGTTTTGTATGAAATTTTCACTTTAAACTGCCTAACGGGCATGTATCCCTTTAGATATGTACAAAAAAATATTGAATTACTTACGTTTTTGAAGCGTATGGCAATCTGTATATGATTTCTGTACATGAGTAAAGGGATACACGCCCTTCGGGGTAGTTTAAAGTCGACTTTTCCTACAAAACTAAAGGAATAAATGCAATTCTGACGTCTTGCACATGCGTATTGTCTATAGTTACGCTGGTCTGACGGATTGCCAGATGCCAATTTTGGCTCTCACTGTCACTCTGTTTGTGTTGTTTTCAAGGTGATATGGAAAAGAACTACAATAGCTGCACGTCTTGTTCTTTATATGCAAGGCTGTTTTGCCATCTAAAGTAGAGGATGATTGGCTGATGTCAGCTGCACATCCCCTAAAAGAACTTTCTTGCAAAATCCTTGATTGGGTTCAAACTCGTTAGTGATTATACTGTGGTTTATTTGGTGCTTCATTTGTCTACTTTTTTTTTAACAGCAGGCTTGTTTCTTATAATGATCTTAACAAAAACATGTCTAATGTTTTTTTAATGTTTCCATATGTCAGGTCCAGACTCAGGTTTGCAGCTCTCTTGCCGTCGCACGGACTTTGGCCGACAATGTGGACTGCCACGTCTTTCCTTTCAGGGATTTCGGAAAGGGTCGTATCAAGAAGTGCAAGATTAGCCCCGATGCGTTCATACAGATCAGCTTACAGCTGGCCTACTACAGGGTAACTCTCTCAACTCCCCTGCAGAAATAAACATTTGTTGCAATTAGAAGCATGAGTCGTCTTGAACTGGTCCAATGTTATTTGGGTGTTGTACACCTTAAACACATTTTTATGGGGGAATGAAAACCTGATGGGGGTGAACTAACATTTCTTGGCTTAGCATAACCTGACATTTACATAAACATTCTTCCAGGAAAATAGATAGTCTAGTAAAACTAAAACAGAATCATTTTTTATAATGTATATGTTTGTACTCTTGAATATAGCTGATTGGCTTTCTGGAAAGTAAAAGTGTGAAATTGGCTTAACCTGCTGTTCCCCGCATTATGTTCCATTCATCCATCATTAAAAGCTGGCATGTCATGTTAATACTGATTGACTTATATTTGCCTAACATATAAATGCTGATCACTGCACCATTCTTGTCAACTCTACGCCTGGGGTCTTTTTTTACTGTTTATTTAACCATCATTGCTCACTGAGCTGCCTTTCTTTATGCAGGTCTTACTCCAAGAACCTCCTTTGCCATGACCAATGTTTCCACTGATTATTTTTTTATGTTTCTACACTATATGTTAGAGCGGCCAGGGTAAATCTGATCTAATGTTAACCAAGAGGTTCCTAAGTGACTCAGACAACGAGACAAACAATCTGGTCTAATAAGGCCGGGCATACACTGTGTGATTTTTTTCAATCGTTGCACGCAGCTGCAGCGGTTTCGTGGTACAGTGAGTTCACAGCTCACGATGCATGTTCAGCCCGACACTCTGATGTGATCTACCTGCTCACACTGTACGTCTAAAAACCACGTCAGACTCCACAGTGAGATGGCGCTACTCTGACTCGCCTGTCTGGAAGCCAAACGAGTAGAAGAGGAATATGAAGCTCACTAGAGAGAAACGTGCTGCCTTGGCAATTTGTGCACATTTTGTGCTGAAAGCCCTAAAAAGAAAAGGCGGCGACTTATTTGGACAAAGACGTGGCTGAGCAAATGTAGCTACTATGGTCTGTGAATTTTACAGAAAGAATTCCATTTCATTCGTGGAGAAAATCAAACATGTTCGATTTTCTCACGATTCCTGAATGGGAGGTGGTCGTGAGAGGCTGATCGCTGCTTGTTACCCTCTGTACTCTACACGATTAGGCTGTAAGTTGGCCTAATCGAAAAATTCTCGCACGACTGGGAAATCGCCCCGAAAGGGGCAAAATTTCGCACAGTGTAAGCCTGGCTTAAGTTTAACCTTTAGTTATAATGCCAGGCATCTTGATCGGAGGAACCTGTATGTTTGCACAGAGCAGGTTCAGACTTTTTTTGACTATTTCTGCAGGATCGTGGTTGCTTCTGTCTGACATACGAGGCGTCGATGACCCGTCTGTTCAGGGAGGGGCGAACAGAGACTGTAAGATCCTGCTCCAGTGACAGCTGCGCCTTTGTCAAAGCTCTGGAGAACGGAGAAGTAAGAAAGCATCCAAACTGATCGCTTTCCTTGCTTAAGTCTGAAAAGTCTTTCTACTGTCGAAAAATAAACGGTGTAAAAATAAAATGATTGAAAATATTTCCACAGTCAGAGGAGGTGTGCCGGCGTCTTTTCCGATCGGCTTCAGAGAAGCACCAGAACCTGTATCGGATGGCCATGACTGGAGCTGGGATAGACCGACATCTCTTCTGCCTCTATGTGGTCTCTAAATACTTAGGGGTGGATTCACCTTTTCTTCATGAGGTAACTCTTTGTTTCAGTATTTCTTGGATATTTACCAATTCAGGTTTGTGTGAAATTCAATTGTTTACCATTGAAATAACATAAATTTTCTCCTTCACGGGGACTCATTCACATCAACCTTTTTGTTTTCTTCCCAATATTTGTCTTTCTAAATTGAAGTGAAAGGAAATATCATGGCTTTCCATTTTTGCAGTAAAACCTCTAAATGTTACGTGTCCCGTTTACTTTGATGCCCATAATTAAAATCCCATGCAACCAACTAAGTAAAAGCTTTCTTCTAGAGGCAATAACCTTAAGTCCTTAAAATCCTTCAAGGATTTCAGTGGTCTTGTATGTCTTTAACTTTATTACAATTTCTCCCACAGTTGATTTTTTTCACACCAAGATGCTTACTTATTTTAGATTCACTCTTCCCAGCCTGGTGCAGGTCTACAGTTTTCTTCCTGGTGTGCTTTGACAGCAGGCCATTGTTAAATTTAGGAGTGAGTGTTTGAGGCTGTGGACAGGTGTCTTTTATACAGTTTTATAAGTAGAGGACAGAGGACGTTCTTAAAGATGAAGTTACAGGTCTGTGAGAGCCAGAAATGTTGCTGGTTTTGTGGTTTTCTAATTTTGTCTCATAGTTGAAGTTTACCTATGATGAAAATTACAGACCTCTCTAGTTATTCTAAGTAGGAGAACTTGTACAATCAGTGTCTGACTAAACACTTTTTGGCCCCACCATGTCTGCTGCTGGACGGGGAAAATCAACAATGTTTGAAAAACGCATAATTAAAAACAAAAGGAAAATTGTTTTGCCAATCCGCCGTGTCCTTCCCTGAGAGGAGAGACCACATTTGAGGACTCAACTTGTGGTAAAAGATGAGGGCTGGAGTTGAAACTGAATTTCACATCGGGTAATAAAGGCTTTACGCTAATCAGAATCTCCTTTAAAAACCTCAGGAGGAGACAAATTATGTTCTCTTTGAGGCAGCGTAAGGAACCGAAAGAGAAGAAGCAGGTTGTGGGGAAACTTGGTCTTAACTGGGTTGAGACATATTGTGCAATATGGGAATTATCTCACTCATAGCCCAGCGATGGAATCATCTACCCTGCCATGTCACATTGGGGCTGATGTTGGGTCAATTTTAGGCCAGATTGTAAAGTAACTTATCAGACTATGGACCCAAATACAGCCAGACACAGTGAGCGGTAAATAGGTTTATATTTGAATGTCGTGGAGAACCTAAGAAAAGGTTGAACCAAGGGGGCATGAACCACTAGAAGGGAGAGAGCAGGTTAGTGCTGGACAGACGATTCAGAGGATCTTTAAATTAAAGGAGAAGTCCAGTCAGCAAAGAATGAACAATGGATCTATACATAAAACTATCATGTCCTGGTTTAAATTTAACATATTTAGTGTCAATCAGTAAAAAAATAAAACAATAATTTTTGTTGTGATCACTGAGTATGGGAGTGGCCATTTTTGCCGAAATATAGTAACCCCTCACTCCTGCCATCTTCCGGCAGTGACGTCACGGTGCGGTAAGCCTAGCGCCATTCTCCCCGCTTTACAAGCAAAATCAATGGGAACTACTAGACACATCTGCAATCAACAACAATTATTGAAGATTTCCAGAGGACTTCACCATTGAAATTCACCAGAGATATAGTGAAACTGACAACGCCCACCTGCATGGCAGCTGGATTTTGGAATACATCGGGTAAAAGTGAAAACAAAAGTAGTTATTTAACCTTTCTGATTAATGATCCTCCACAGACGGGTTCGTCTTTGGATTTGCAACTTCAAGAGGGAGGATTTGCCATCAAACTTCTGGCCAGAGAACAAACCCGTAATATGTAGCCAACATTTGGAAGAAGAATGTTTTCCAGATGACTTGGATAATAGCGCGTTGTGACAAACACCAGATACAGCTCTGGGACTTGATCAACAGCCGATACCACAAACCCGTAGGTGGCAGTAGTGTTCTTTGACAAACATGGATGCCTCCGTTAAAGCACATTCAAATGAAAATTACTCTTAATTAAAAACACCTATCATTTATTGAACAGTTTGTAATAATTTCATATTTAAAGGACTTTCAGAAGTTTGAATTCTGAATATGACCGGACTTTCCTTTAAAGGAATAGTACACCCAAAACATGATTAGCCTTCATTTTCTACTCACCCCCATGCCGAACAACACTCTGGAGTACTTTTTTGATATCTCAAATGCATCTGGAGATCTGGGAGGCTTCTTGCTGTCTGCTGACATTCAAATAGCGGAGGTCTATAGCGCCCGAGGCAGAAAGATCCATAAAAGTCCACAAAAAACGTGTCAATATTCCTCCATACTGCTCGTCCAATGTATTCCAAGTGTCCTGAGTGGGTAGCGTCCATAATTTACTCGAAACAAAGTCATTTAGAATGTTTTTAGAGCATAAACAGTAGTGTATAGGATTTCCTAAAAGCGCGTTCACGAGTCTACGGAAACCGCGGCAGACCAAACCAGATGAAAGTGCGCATTCAGTGTCTGCTCTGCCGATAATGCAAGCGTAGAAGAAGAAATGTGCCGTTTACCTGTGCAAAGAAAGAAACAACGAAAGAAAAGTGTCTGAGGACTTCAGTGTTGAGGAAGAGCATGAGTTCTTTGCCGAGCTGAATGCGCACTTTCATCTGGTTTGGTCTGTTGCGGTTCCCGTAGAGTCGTGAACTCGCAGGCGCGCGCTTGTAGGAAATCCTACACACTACTGTTTATGCTCTAAAAACATTCTAAATGACTTCGTTTCGAGTAAATTATGGACGCTACCAACTCAGGACACTTGGAATACATTGGACGAGCAGTATGGAGGAATATTGACACGTTTTTTGTGGACTTTTATGGACCTTTCTGCCTCGGGCACCATAGACCTCCATTATTTGAATGTCAGCAGACAGAAAGAAGCCTCCCAGATCTCCAGATGCATTTGAGATATCAAAAAAGTACTCCAGAGTGTTGTTCAGCATGGGGGTGAGTAGAAAATGAAGGCTAATCATGTTTTGGGTGTACTATTCCTTTAAGACAGAGAGCCACTAACCTTCTTCTGAATCCAGGAGTATTGAAAACCCAGAGCTTAGGTTTTCTTTCAAAGGTGATGCAGAGAACTGGGTTTTGTAGATTGGGACTTTTGCACAGATCCGTCCATAAAACCACAGGGAGGACAAACCTGAGGTCTGAACAAGGGGCTGGTAGGGCTCAAAGGTCTGCAGAAAGAAACTGGTTCAGGGCCAGAGACACAGAGTGGTGATGATCGAGAGGGAGATTCGCTTACTGTAACGAGAGTCAGGCAAGCCTAAATCCACCATCAATAAACATATCCATGTATTGTGAATGTCTAAATATTGTCAATAAGAATGTTGGATTTATGTACCCTTTTCTTTTTTTATTGATTATTATCCAACAACTTTAATGAACCACATTTATTTTGATAGTACACCTCAGTCTTGGTTCAGTTTTGGGCCTGATTCTCTTTTTTTATGTCTGCTTTCTTTTGGGAGCATCCTAAAAGGCTTTAGAATATTCCAAACCATCTATATGCAGATGATATTCAGCAATATTTGTCATTTTCACCATCTGAGTCGAAACAAGCTGTCTGAAACCCAAACGTGGCTCTACGACAACTATCTCCAGTTAAATGAAAACGTAACTAAAACCCTTCTTGATGGCTAATTCTGATATTAAGTTCTCTCCGATTTAATCTGTAGTAGTTCCTTGACAAATGTTGTAAAACACGAACCGCTTTGATCATTTTAGGAACAATTCCAAATGAAGAGCAATAGTGTCAAAAACTGAATTGAGGAGGATCTTTCATGCGTTTAGTTTTTCCAGTGTATACTATTGAAACAATATTTTCATTTTTGTTTTTTTTTACTTTACTTTAAACAAATGTTTTGTGCTTTAAGAAAAAAGCGCAATGAATACGAAAAAAATCTCTCCAGATCGAAAAAAGAAAATCTAAACCTTCCAACCATTCTGGAATGATTCATGAAACAGAGTTAGGTTTATAGGTTTGTTTATTTTTCCTTTGATCACTCTGCCAAACAATAAAAAGTCCTTTCCCTTCATTTCTGATGCAGGTTCTGTCGGAGCCGTGGCGCCTCTCCACCAGTCAGACTCCGGTTCAGCAGCTGGAGCTGTTTGATCTGAAGAACCACCCAGACTTTATATCCCTTGGTGGAGGTTTTGGACCGGTAAGCGGAGGAAGAGGTTTAATAATAAATAAAAAAGTAATCAGTTATACTGACAGTACAAATCAACTAACGCGTATTTCAGAACTGATTTGGGAAAATGAGGCATTCAACAGACGCCTTGTTTATTTAAAAACATCTGTGCAATTTAATTTACTGGGAAATATTTCATAACCTTCAGAAAACAAAAGAACCACTTGAACCTCTTTTCCACTTCTTAGTGGCTAAGTTTGATCGTATTTTTGTTATATTTTCAAAGCAGAGTATATTGTAAAAAAAAAAAAAAAGGGTACAATATTAAGCGGAACTCAATATTTTAAGGGGCAAATTTGCACAAAAATTCAGGACTTCAACATAGTTATCAAACTTTTTTAACTTTGTTTGCCTAAATTAGAACTCTGTAATTGTAACTTGAAATGCAGATTTAAGATCTAACTTTCAAACCTACAACCTTTGTCACAGCGAGAAATGAAAGTTCTGCTCTCTAACCAGGAGGCCGTGGCTGACCCAGACGATTAATGACTTAACTATAAATTCCAGGAACTTCAAACTTAGATAAGCCTTATTTTCATTAAACATTCATTAAAGAATAACTAACATTATTGCGATCGTCAAGGGGCGTAGGAATAAGTTTACAATTGGGGGGGGCACATGTCGGAATTCTGAGATTCGTAAATATTCAACAAAAACATATCTTAAGTACGCTACTTTAAAAAAAAGGCTATTTAATCTTTTACTTTATTCCTTTATAAATGTTTTGCAAAAATAATGCATTTAAAATTTACATAATGCATTTGTTCATAAGATATCACCAAACAAAATGACTGGAGTCTTTTATTAAGCAAAGGGAGATGTCTTTCCTTGGCATATTTAGTGTCCGCATACGCACTAGAAAATCAAATATTTCAGTTGGATTAAAAACAATTCAGTAGGCCACACAAGTGCAAAGTTTGATATGTTTTCTTTTGTCAAACTTGCAATAATGGTCAAAAATGGATTTATATCGGTTGACTGACCATAGAACCATCTCTTTGATTAAACAAAATTCTGAGATGAAAGAACCCTCACAGATAATGTAGTGAACAAATTATTCACACTTTTAACATTAAGTAAAAGAAGAAAAGAAAATCAATCAAAATATGCTTATTCAGTTTGTCGAACTGTATGACTAATTACAGGGTTCCGGCGGATCCTTAAAAAGTCTTAAAAGGCATTGAATTCTTCAAAATAAAACTAAGGCCTTAATTGGTATTAAAATGTCTTAAATTAGTCTTTTCGTAGGTCTTAATTTTTAACACATCCTAAATAGGATTTTTTTTATTATGATTTATTTTTGTAATCTAAATAAAACATTAAAATTGACCTTTTTTTTTTTATTATTTAAAAAAAATAATGGCTCGCCATTATTGGTTCCGTCCCGATAGCGGAACCAATAAAAGCGTTGTTGCAGCCGGGACATTTGGGAGATGCGCCATTTACTAGCTCAGAACGATGGGAATTAAGGCAGTGGAGTCACACATGCGAAGCAAGAAACACAAAGCGTCAAAATCGAGTTACCGAAAAACAACCGGTATTTCTCAGTTTTTTTCCACCCTTGTCTCTGCAACGCCTCCACTTATCAACAAATCACACATACTAAGAAAACGATACAAAGAAAAATAGCTGCAAAAAAGACTTAGCACTGGTTATGTTGTGGCTTTAACACTGTTTTGTTTTGTTCCCTGCTAAAACAAAGTTTGTGAATTCAGTTAAATAATTGTTAAAATATATCTGTTATTTGTGTGTTTTTAGCTTTCTTCCTGTATGGGAAGCTTTTCAAAATTTAAAACATTAGTGCAGTGGTTTATGTTAAAATAAACCTTTGGTTTAAGTTGTCGCAAGCAGGTTTTTCTTGTGTTTCTTGTGAATTTGGTCTTAAATTTTTATTTAAAGTGGCATTAAGAAGTCTTAAAAAAAGTCTTGAATTTAACTTGCCTTATGCTGTAGGAACCCTGAATTAAACCAAATCAAAAATGAAGAAATATTTACCAACAATAAATACACATTTCATAGACAAGCTTTCTAACTCACTGACTACAGTGAGCTTTAACTATTGGAAAAGTAATTAGCACAGAGATATTCAGTTTACGAAGCATTGTTGATTTTATTTTGTTTCTTTTGTTTATAGGCCACATAACCCTAGGTAGAGATCAACACCTCTGTGCTTCTGAACAATTGCACTTTACAGCCATGCGTTTATATTTCGCCAAAAAAGTCCCGGACACATAAAAGGATGGCAAACACTGGCTTAGGCAAATATATATGAAAGTGAACTGACAACAAGACGTTATAAATAAGCAATATACATAGCAGCATTCCCGACAGACCATTTTAACTCATTCACAAGTTTCTGACTTCTGTGTAGCTGTTTCCCTCCCTTCTGGGGGCTCAAACACTCAGCAGTTCAGAGAGGGGAGGGGGAGTACAGCTGCGCCTTCAAAATAAAAGCACACTAGTTTAAAAAAATGTCAAAATCCAATATTTTGCGGTACAATTTTTGGAGGGGGGACATATCCACCTGGCTTCCTACGCCGCTGGCGATCGTCATAACGTCTTCAGTAACAGTTTCTTAAAATCGAATATTTATAAGTTTGTAACTCAAAAGCCAACTCCAAAGTTACTTTAGCTGCATTTTACAACAGAACCACTAAATTTAGCAGAAAATAACAACTTAAAAGGTATGAAATTTTTGTCCCTATATTCAACTTAGATTTTTATACTGCAAAAACGATCTAAAAATGAGTGAAAAATTCCTAAAATAAGTGTATTTACCCATAATTTAAGCAGAAAAATAAAGATGATGCCAATGGATGAGTGCTTTTATTCTTAGGATATTAAGATTATTAAGATATTTCGCAATTGAATTAAGAGACTGCAGTTTTTTTTTTTTCTTATTTCAAATGTAAATTGTTTTGCAAAGTGTTTCACTTTGCTGCTTAATTAAAGAAGAACAGGCTCTTATGTTATCAGCTTAGATGTTTTGCAGTGCAGGTTTACACCTGACGGTAGTTTTTTTTTTTACAGTGTAATGAAAACTACTTGTGTTGCTCTTGCTGACAGATGTCAGGAAGAAGGAACTAAAAACTGGGAAGAACCTGTAATAGAGACTGCTTATTAAGCTCTTTTGTCTTGTGATCTTTATCTAATAAGGTTGCAGACGATGGTTACGGAGTTTCGTACATAATTGTTGGAGAGGACCTCATTAACTTCCACGTGTCATCGAAGTACTCCTGTGGGGAGACTGTAAGTAATCTCTGTTAAATTTGCTTCTGGTCGAGTTTTTAGCGTTTTAAGTCCCGCAGCTTATCTGGAAAGCGGAAAGCGGAAATTTCATTTCCGCTTTCACTTGACAAACTTCCGTGAATTAGAGCTTTCTATGTCTATTCCTTCTCCATCCTGCTGTGTGCTAGCTCCTAATCCCAAAGAGATCAGCCTGTAAAGGTCACATGTTTTCACTTCCTTCCTCACGGAAATGCTCTGTGCTGCTCCACAGTCAGAATGAAAACGAAACATCAGTTACAATATATCCTAGGAATTTTCTATGCTTGCCCGTATCAAAAAAAAAAAAAAAGAAATCCAGCTGTTCTATGAATCCAGATATTTCTTAGAAAACATCAGTTAACGAGCAGCATGATGAAGCTAAAGAGCAGAAAGGTATAGAAGTTTGGTCACTATTGCTCTCGAAACTCTGCTGGTTCACAAAATGTAACCCAAATGTAAAAGTTTGTGTTTGCGGCCATTTGTGTGACAAGTTAAAAGTCCGAATATTTCCCATTGCTCAATTGTCTTCCTTTCATATTTTTTTGCTTCCTTAGGACTCCCACAGGTTCGGTGCTCAGATCCAAAAGGCCCTCGGAGACATAATGGCTGTGGTCTCAGCTGAGCCCAAAACCTCACCCTCCTCCAAAGGCACCAATCAGTCCAAGAAACTCCACTAAACAAAACAAGACAGGATACTGAAGTCATTCACCTCACAGTCCAAAAGCGATAACGGTAGAGGGTCAGCCTCAGTATATAACAACATTAACAGTTATTATGAGGATCATGTAAATACTCTTTTTTTTTCTCTCCTGTTTCTGTTTCCATTTTCAACACGTCTATAACATCTAACATCTACCTAGACAACCAAGTTAAAGTAAAATCTTTAACATTAATACACATCTAGCTCTGGGATTAGTGTTGCCATGTTCTTCTCTTAAAGCTGCTGAATCCAGAGGATGATGCAACAGCTGGTCACATCAATATGAGAACAAGACCACAGCGCTGTTTGCATACTTTTTCTGAGGATGCATTCAATCAGGGAGAAAATAAATTCACCTTCTGCCTTGCTTGTACACACTTGGAGCCATTCTGGACAGAAAAGCTGTAATTCTTCATGAGTCAGATTTAAACTGGGTGTCAAAGTTATTCCTGAGAGTATTAGGTCTATTTTCAATACAGCAGCATCCCAAAGGTGCATTTTATTTGGCCGCAGCACTTAGCTAGGATGTAAAAGTTTAACCAAAATTATATTGGGACCCATGGGCAGTTGGATCTGAGACTCCTGGTGCCTCGTTGTGTTTCTTCAACCGCAGCTCAGTTTTGGCAGCCTTGGTTTCCTGTTCTGGTTTTTTGCTGCTGTAGCTCAAAAGCTTCTCAAAGATTGTTTTCTCCACTTGTTAGAGTTCTTAATTCATCTTTGCCTAATCCAATAATTCTTTCCTGAATTTGAACATTGTTAAAATATTTTGAATCGCTTTGTTTTTTGCAATTTGTTTTCACTATGTTGATCACAGTGTGATAAAAGAGGTCATTAAAGGGGCAGAACAGCATGTATCCATATAAACGTCCCACTTGAAGTAACTGGTTACATAATATCCGACCGCAGGAAGTGGCCGTTTACTTCCCTTAATGGAGCAGAAGCCCAGTGGAACCAGTGTTTTTAATGTTCAGTATATTCAATATATTATAATATAACAATATTGTATATGTAGGCTATGAAGGGAATTTTGTTCCATTATTGAAAAGAAAAAACAGCAATCCACAAACAAAATTTATTAATCATTTTTTTTCTTTTTCTTTTTATAGATATTAAATATTCAAGTAAATTTTCTGTTGTTTTTTTTCAGATGAAGTTTTATGAATTGCATTCTTTTCAAACTGCGTTTTGTTACTTATCCCAAAAGGGAGAGGAGGCAGCAAATTTCCACTCAAAATTGATTAAGGACTTTTTATAATTCTAAATTCTGGATTTTTTTCATATACAGATTTATTTTTTTGTCCTTGCAGCAGCCATGCAAAGAAATTCCTATATTTGTAAAAATTCTTCCTCTTCTTGAAATGCAGCAACATAATCTGATGTTAAAAGATGGAGAAAAAATACAAACTTCAGCTTGAGAACATTCACTGTGTGGAAACATCTGTTTACAGTTTAAATGGTTTAGCCTCTGATTAAAAGAGAAGTACCCTATTTATTTGTAGCCTGAGTTTCGATGTGATCTGTGAGCATCGTTTCCCACGGAGGAAACTGTATGAAAAAGAGATCAATTCTTTCAGGGTTATTTGACCGCTACACTGAACAGGGACCTTTACACCGGAAACAGCAGCTAATACAAGGATAGATCTTCATCAAATTTGACCAAGTAGGGATAAATGTGACTAATACTGAGACATTTAGCCAATGTGAAAGAGGCGCCTCATATTTACTGTTTATAGAAGCAGAATCTGTGAGGAAGGACTTGTTTCTCTTTAAGGGCCACAAACAGTGAGAGTCCATTAAATCTGAAACCATTTAAAACAAATTTCTGTTTAGTCTGAAAAACACAGAATCAACATCTGTAAAGAGATCAAAGCCCGCTGGTCCTAAACGATTCAAAATGTTAACTTTAAAACATCTCCAGGATGGAGCGACCTCCATCGCTCAGGAGGGATTTGCACCCAGTTTTCTACACCGACTGCCTCCCATCCTTAAAAGATTTTGGAGGCAGTCTGGTCTTTAGTCAGACATAATCCAGCTGATGGTCTCTTTATAAAATCAGCTGATAAAGACGTTCATTCTAAACACTGACTGATTTCTATCTGTTTTCTTTGCCTTCTCTGCTTTTTTCTTCACCTATTTAATACATTGTCTTTTATAATTCCTTTTTTAACCAATACTTGTTTTATTGATTACTTCCTGTATGTAGATTAATAGGGTTATTATCTATAGTAAACTTTCATCGTCCTGATTATAGATATTTTAACTTCAGAAAATGTTGAATTGATCAGTCTACCTTTGTATAAAATGGATAACATAAAATAGGTGGTGTCTGAGTATTCTACAGATATATAAAACTGTTTATGGATAAATATTTGCAAGAAGGGCAAAAGAGAATACTTTTTTAAATGTTTTTTTAATTATTTGTATTTGCAGGATGTTGATATATTAGTTAATTGTGTAGAGGGCTGTAACCAGCTCTTAAATGTATTAATGGTGGAATTAGATAATTTAGGGCCTTTTTAAATTTAATTTCTTTTTAGATTATGTGGCATTTAAGTTTGTTTTTTTTGTGAGCAGACCAGAGGCCTCATGCATAACAACAATCTAAAAAGTGCTTAATCTTTCCCTGATAAAAGGAAAAGTTCCTTTAATTTAAACTTAAGAAGAACCAAACCTGGTGGCGGCATGAAGCAATAATAGAGCTCAGTACTCTGCAGTGGGGGAGTAGCGACCTCGTGGTTTGGGCTTGAGGTGCGAGTCCCACTCCCACGCACTGCCACTCTGGCTCTCTGAGCAACACCCTTAACCCCACACTGTTCCTCTAGCGCCCCACGATGGCAGCCCACTGCTCCCCAAGCGGGTAGGTTAAATGCAGAGGTAATTTTCTTCGATGTGTGATCAATAAAATTACAAGTATTATTAGACGGCGCCTTCTTGGCTTTATACTAACAATTTAAAACAAAACGAAGCCCCAGACTGCTTAGTCAGTTTCTTTGCTTAGTCCCTCTCATTCAATAAGCGCTTGTTGGGATGTAATAAAATCTTCCTAAGGAACCTTATTTGGACTGCTGGATAAAGTCTCTCTGTTAGAGCCTGACCACATCATTGGTTGTTTTGGCAGTTGGTGGGTGTCTTTCACACATTTTTACAGATCTCTATGTGTATTTAGAGACTGGGATGGCGGGGAAAAAGAGACATGAGCCTGGGGTCTTAATGAAGAATAAAAAAAATATCTCCCTACCTCCAAACTTTATGCATGAGGCTCCTGTACACACCATTAATACCTTTAGTGTTTTATTTTGACAAGATTCCAACCTCTTAAGGGGACTTCTGAGTCAGCAAACTTCTATAACATTACCGGACATGCCTTAGCAATTTAAGGGCACCATGATGGCAAAACTCATAACAGCCGGGCCAAACATAACATGGCTCTGTTTATATGGAATAAAGAATGAGTTAAAGTCAGTTTTTTTACTCCTGCCGCTTACAAAAGCAAACCTTGGTGCCTCTTTATAAATGTTTACTCTGCAGTATCAATGCAAATATTTGTATCAATGCAAACCCAGTGGGGTAACCTCTTAAAACATGGTCAAAAGCTAAGCTGTTTTCGTTTTTACTGTAGAGTTTAAAAGGTTGGCCTTTTAAACTCTATTCAGTGCCATTTGGGAAAAAAGAAACTCTCTGATTATGTTGTGGTGGAAAAAATAGATCAGTTGCATTTGTCTTTTTTGTAGACTTGTATTAGACTTTTTTTAGACATGAAGTTGATCAATATTTAGGTCTTTCGGGGGGGGGGGGACAAACTTTTTTACCGTCTCTCCATCTCGACGGTTGTGTAACTGACAGTGATACAGATGCACAGTTTTCTTGGACTTTCTTTTAAATATGGACACTGGTTAAAGTTCCTTTCTGTTTTTCATACTTTTTTAACTTGGGTTGTTTACTGGAACAACTCACAGATATGAAGAATGATCAATTCAGTTTACTCTCACAAAAAAGACGTTTACAATTTATCCTAATATATCCTGATGCATTAACAAAAACATTATGTATGTGACTTGTTGCTCTGCTGCAGCATGTGCAGATCAGCTGTCTAATTGGTCCTTGGGCGGTGTGCTGCCATCTACTGGTTGGAGGTTTAAGACTTAAAAAGTTAGGCTATAAATAATTAATTATGAATTAATAAATTATTTATAAATAATTATAAATAATTGAATGAAATTTTGCCGTATTGGTATTTTGAATAGATAGAAAAATTGTCCAAGGAAATATTGTGATATTTGACAGCACCAGTTTATTCTTACCCCCATAGTTTTCTGTAAGATAAACAGCATCAGGGTGTTTCTGGTTTTCCAATAAGCTCTTAGATATTCTCAAAATGCAGCTTTAAAACTTTTTATGGGTTGTGAAAAATTCGAGGAATCCCACTGGGTAACTTTCTTGTTGTGTTTTTCTGTGCCTGCATCTTTTTAAATGTTGTGTTATTTTTATTCCAGGCTATAGCTCTGCTAGCTATGCTCAACAGAAAAAAAAGGATTTTCTGTGTCAGTCTGCTGGGAGAGCTGTGGTTACATAAGAAAGCTCATGAATTTTAAATGAAATGAGAAGTTTGCTTTCCAAACACTAGAAATTGTAGTTTGATTTATGTAGATCTTATAAGATCTCCCAAATCAAATGTGTGCATTACTCAGAGTCCTGCATATGTCTTTTCATGATATTGTTAATAAATTTTACAGTGCAAAAACCACAGTAATATTCTCGCATTTGCCCCAGCGAAAGCATTTATGTTTTCTTTCCTGAGATTATTTTACGTGATAAACTTGTTAAATTACCTTTCTTGTTTTCAATACTTCAGTTTATTTCTAAAATGTATCAAAACATTTGTTTGAAATGATGTGATAGTTTCTGGTTGTGTTTAAATAAAAAGAAAATTTCCACAACAAACTCTTGTTTCTGTAGCCTTTTCAATACCCAGTAAACATCACCTAATTATATGTTGGGTTTTTGATAGACCTTGGTGAGGTAGTAATTTCAATGATTACTTTTGAAAACATGTGGTTTTAATTTCTATAAATGTATGTAAAGGTTGATTAATATTTATTAAATGTATTCCTAGAATATGAGTCTTTGATACAAGTTTAATCTGGTCTGTATGTTAAATTGTGACCTTAAGTGATCACAGAGATTAGATCCATCCATCCATTATTTGACAGGCTTTTCCCTTTTTTTTAAAGTTCTTTTTCCGGACAGGACACTGTTAAAAAGATAAAATAATAAAGCTATTTTTCTGCCAGCTGACTCAGGGGGCCTTGTAGACATGGTGCAAACAGAGATTTCAGCTGTTACTGGTAATGCCAACCGCTTCATCATGCTGTCTGACCTACGCAGCTTTGAAGTGGTTCACTTCTACCCAAACTGAACTATTTCTGTTAGTAAATGAGCAGAACAAGTCTACTTTCTGTCCCACAAAGGAAAGTTGCTTTGTCTAAATATTGGTTCACACAATATACTTACATTGGGATCACATGCCACAACTACTGACAGCCGTCAAGTGGCCTTGATCTAGATTTTCAGATGTGGCCCTCACATGAGCCAGCAATTTGTCTGTGCTGGACCAAAACTTTTATCACTAGCTAAAAAAATCATGTGGTTTTGAGGTTCTCATAAGTTTGTGGAGGTTGGACACCAAGTATGAATAAGCTGCCGCCATGACACCTGAACTAAGATTCAAAAATTCTTAGGAAAACATACCTCCGAATGTTCAATGGTTACATCTCTACATATCTTCTCTATGTATAACTCCATCCATCCATTCTGTCAGGCTTTCCCCTGCTCGGGTCCCGAGGGGTGCTGGTGCCTATCTCCAGCCGTCTACGGGCGAGAGGCAGGGTTTACCCTGGATGGGTTGCCAGTCCATCGCAGGGCAACACAGAGACAAACAGGACAAACTACCATTTACACTCACACCTAAGGATAATTTACACTCACCGGTCACTTTATTAGGTACACCTGTCCAACTGCTCGTTAACACTTAATTTCTAAGCAGCCAATCACATGGCGGCAACTCAGTGCATTTAGGCATGTAGACATGGTCAAGACAATCTCCTGCAGTTCAAACCGAGCATCAGTATGGGGAAGAAAGGTGATTTGAGTGACTTTGAACGTGGCATGATTGTTGGTGCCAGAAGGGCTGGTCTGAGTATTTCAGAAACTGCTGATCTACTGGGATTTTCACGCACAACCATCTCTAGGGTTTACAGAGAATGGTCCGAAAAAGAAAAAACATCCAGTGAGCGGCAGTTCTGTGGGCGGAAATGCCTTGTTGATGCCAGAGGTCAGAGGAGAATGGCCAGACTGGTTCGAGCTGATAGAAGGGCAACAGTGACTCAAATAACCACCCGTTACAACCAAGGTGGGCAGAAGAGCATCTCTGAACGCACAGTACGTCGAACTTTGAGGCAGATGGGCTACAGCAGCAGAAGACCACACCGGGTGTCACTCCTTTCAGCTAAGAACAGGAAACTGAGGCTACAATTTGCACAAGCTCATCGAAATTGGACAATAGAAGATTGGAAAAACGTTGCCTGGTCTGATGAGTCTCGATTTCTGCTGCGACATTCGGATGGTAGGGTCAGAATTTGGCATCTACAACATGAAAGCATGGATCCATCCTGCCTTGTATCAACGGTTCAGGCTGGTGGTGGTGGTAACATGGTGTGGGGAATATTTTCTTGGCACTCTTTGGGCCCCTTGGTACCAATTGAGCATCGTTGCAACGCCACAGCCTACCTGAGTATTGTTGCTGACCATGTCCATCCCTTTATGACCACAATGTACCCAACTTCTGATGGCTACTTTCAGCAGGATAATGCGCCATGTCATAAAGCTGGAATCATCTCAGACTGGTTTCTTGAACATGACAATGAGTTCACTGTACTCAAATGGCCTCCACAGTCACCAGATCTCAATCCAATAGAGCAATTTTGGGATGTGGTGGAACGGGAGATTCGCATCATGGATGTGCAGCCGACAAATCTGCGGCAACTGTGTGATGCCATCATGTCAATATGGACCAAACTCCCTGAGGAATGCTTCCAGCACCTTGTTGAATCCATGCCACAAAGAATTGGGGCAGTTCTGAAGGCAAAAGGGGGTCCAACCCGTTACTAGCATGGGGTACCTAATAAAGTGGCCGGCGAGTGTATGTGCTATCTGATTTTTCTCATCATAGTAGCTTCATCTGGTCTGTTCCTGTTTGGCTGTGACTCCATCCTGGAGATAAATATCAGTTGTGCTGCTGCCTTCAAAGCCTTTGTTTATAGATGTTGGAGCTTGGTCTGTTTTTCAGTGTAATCCTGTTTCTCTGACTGTGACTAACTGGATATGCTCTCTTCAGCCTTTGACATGGGAGCTGGCTTGGAGCTTGTCTGGCTGGCTGTGTGTTTCCTGGACGGGGCACCTGTGACTGACAGTTGCATTTTGTAACTCTGATTCTCTCTGTATCTCTGCTTCTGTCTCCTTGAGCTCCTGTTGGCCTTGGGAGATGGCCGATCACACTGAGCTTTGTTCTGCTGGAGGTTTATTCCTGTTAAAACTAAGTTTTCCTTTGCACTGTCGCTTCTGTATTATTCAATTCAATTCAGTTTATTTATATAGCGCCAAATTCACAACACATGTCATCTCAAGGCACTTTACAGTTCAACCAGATCATACAGTCAAATTGATACAAAGTTTTCTATCTAAGGAAAACCAGTTGATTGCATTGACTCATTGACTCAAATACAATCCCCCACACTAAGCATGCTTGTAGCGACAGTGGAGAGGAAAAACTCCCTTTTAACAGGAAGAAACCTCCAGCAGAACCAGGCTCAGTGTGAGCGGCCATCTGCCGAGGCCGACTGGGGTTCAAGGAGACAGAAGCAGAGATACAAAAAGCAGCTGTAAAAGGCGGCCCCGTCCAGGAAACACACAGCCAGGCAGACGAGCTCCAAGGCAGCTCCCATGCCAGAGGACGAAGAGAGCACATCCACTCAGTCACGGTCAGAGAAACAGGACCACACTGGAAAACAGGCCGATCTCCAACATCTATTAACAAGGGTGTTGATAGAAGCAGCACAGCTGATGTTTTTTTCCAGGATGACGTCACAGCCAAACAGGAACAGACGAGGCAAAGCTACTCTGAGGAAAAGCAGAGAGAGCAGAAGGTTAGAGATTGAACTAACAGATTCTGCAGAATAGGAGAACAGAGAGAGAATGAAGCAGAATGATGAAATGGGGGTCCCTATGTCCTCCAAAAGTCTAAGCCTATAGCAGCATAACTATAGAGATAGCTCAGGATAACCTGAGCCACCCTAACTATAAGCTTTATCAAAAATGAAAGTTTTAAGCCTAGCCTTAAAAGTAGACAGGGTGTCTGCCTCACGGACTAAAACTGGTAGTTGGTTCCACAGGAGAGGAGCCTGATAACTAAAAGATCTGCCTCCCATTCTACTTTTAGAAATTCTAGGAACCACTAGTAAACCTGCAGATTGAGAGTGAAGTGCTCTGTTAGGAACATAAGGAACAATCAGATCTCTGATATAAGATGGAGCTTGGCCATTTAAGGCTTTATATGTGAGAAGGAGGATTTTAAATTCTATTCTTGATTTAACAGGAAGCCAATGAAGAGAAGCCAGGATAGGAGAGATATGATCTCTCTTTTTCATTTTCATTAGAACTCTGGCTGCAGCATTTTGGATCAGCTGAAGGCTTTTAACTACAGTTTGTGGACTTCCTGATAGTAAAGAATTACAATAGTCCAGCCTTGAAGTAACAAATGCATGGACTAGTTTCTCAGCATCACCCCTGGACAGGAGATTTCTAATTTTTGCAA